TTCGACTTGAATAGTCTCCAATCATCGACACAGATAACCTACATTAGTGATTTAAAAATCCATGAGAAGTATTTACATTTTCTTACAGAGAATTGTGCCAGAAAAAATGAGTTGTAAATGCCGTTGGTTATCGTTTGTTTGCATCAAAGTTCAGTTGCCTGATGTTCATATTTGTACCGGGCTTGGATAGGCCGTGTCAAGGTTCTGTTGACTACTGGATGTACGTCTGTCTATTCTCTTCGTAGCCAAGGATATCTAGTACTAGTGTTATACCTGGACATTTCTAATGCCTTCGACATGGTCAACCACCAACTTCTCATAGGTAAACTCGCATCTTATGGGGTCCAAAACCTGTTACTAGCCTGGTTTGATTCCTTCCTCAGCAATCGACATCAAATAGTTAAAATGAACTCTTCATTGTCGAATGCAGTCCCTGTTAGAAGTGGGGTAATTCATGGTAGTGTCTTAGGTCCTTTGCTCTTTTTAGTTTTCATTAATGATACTTGTGAGTGTTTTAGTGTGGGTAAGTCCCTTTTGTTTGCAGACGATCTTAAGGTGGTGTACTCATTTTCTCCACATGAGCTGAGCAATATTCAAAATTGTATCAGCTCGGAGCTTAACAATGTAGCACAGTGGTGCTCGAAATGGCAACTGGAGCTTAATACAGCTAAATGTGGTTGGTTATGCTTCGGTGATGCATCACTCAACCTCAATCTTACCATAAATGGGGAAATGTTATCTAGGTTACACTCAGTAGTAGATCTAGGACTTAGGTTCTCCGACGACTTGTCGTTTACTGAACAGATAATGAAACAAACGTCCAAGTCTCAACGCCTTATATTTTACATAACTCGAAACCTTCATAACAGTGAATCTCGTATTCTAATGTACAAAGTCTGTGTTCGACCACTCCTCGAATACTGCGCGTTTCTGCTTAGTAGCACGCGCATAAAGGATAAATTAAGACTGGAATCAGTACTGAGACGATTTACACTTCGTACTCTTGGAACTGATAGTGTCGTGACATATAATTCTAGGTGTAGTAAACTAGGGCTTGACCCTTTATGGAAGAGGAGACTCAAACTTAACCTTATCTTCTTTTTCAAAATACTTAACAAACTCTCCTTCACATTCAGCCAGGCGATTCAATACGCTAAAGCCTCACATTACGACATTCGTAACTCCTTGTCTTTAGCCAAACAAACATATTCTAGATCTTCCCTCCATACGAATTACTTTGCCTGTAAGTTTTCTAGGCTCTGGAATAATTTACCTCAAACTATACGTATGTTAAACTTTCTCCCATTGTTCGTTCGCTCAATTAATGCCTTTTGCTCCTCTGAAAATGCATTAAATACTCTAGCGCCTGCAAGTGTATCTTACTCCACAAGTGAGATTATCGGAACTTTAAATGTTTAACTTCTTACTTGCTATCATTGTTTTGTTGTTCCGTGCTCTTTGCTTTAATCTTACTTTCTCTAGTTGTAGATAATTATCAATATCTCGCTTTGGCACTAGAAATAGCCTTACAGAACATCAGGCTATCCACTTAAGAAAAAATGACAAGTTCCCTGGTGTTACATTGGCCTGCCATATATAAACTATTTGTCAATTACTAAACCAGCAAACATAAAACTTTCTTATATTTCATGTTTGCTCTCTACATTAAATGTTGATTTTTATAACAATCTGATCAGAATATATATTATTATATGTAAGTGAATAGGGAAAAAGAGGGAAACACAAAGATAGAAGTATTAACGGTGTTAAGTATCGTCATAAATATTCATATGTTTTCTAAATGTAAATGAATTAATTGTGGTATTTGTACAAGCGGACTATTTCTTCGTACTTCACTGCGCACTTATTACGAATTACAAATACAATGCGTCCAGTTGTGCTCGTCCAGTTCTTTTTCGCTCAATTTGCACTATTTCGGAAATTCTTAGTAAAGTTATTAACTCCAATACTTCTAACTATCATACTGGTGTCGCAACAGAGTTAAATCATGGACAGTGGAATATCAATTCAGGTGTGGGTTGTTTTTGAAGACTACATGGAACGGTTTAAAATCTGGTATACGACAATAAAGAATAACAAAGATGATAAACTCACAGCTTATTTTCTAACATTCATTAGAGAAGCTCACAGCCTGCTGAAGAATCTGGCTTCACCAGATAAACTAGTCTTATTGTCATATAATCCGTCAAAGAATTACTACTTAGACATGTTCAGTGTGCTGGCTTTGAATGCTGCCAGAAATAAAACTTTCACAAGATGATGTTACCAGGAAGTGAACAACTTCATACCAGAACTGCAGAAACAGGTTGCAAAGTGCAATTCTGGAGGCTATTTAGAAATTCAGCTTTCTGGTTGAATGACTATTGAGATAAATATTCAAAATTCGGAAACCTATCTAATTCAAGAAATTAGAACAGGGTGTATTAACTATAATGCAGTGAAAAAGCTTGATTTTTAGCCGGCGTAAACTTCTGATAATTTGCTGAGCTGTCCTGATGAACTAAATTTACAAGGTCGCTCAAAATAAAGATTTAATCAACACTTTATCACGAAGTGATCGATGTCTAATCTTAGGGGACTTCAATGCACCCATGGTGGACTGGGGAAATCTTCGGACTGAATCGTCAGCAAACTCCTTCGAACAGGAACTAGTTGATGCGATAATCACTTGTGCTCTAGTGCAACACGTGAAGGAAGCAACTAGGTACGACCCGGGTTCTGCATCATCCTTACTAGATCTTATATTGACTCATTATGAGGATGATGTTGCAAACCTGGATTACATGCCACCCCTAGGCAAAAGTGATCATGCAGTTTTAAGCTTTGACTTCCATATAACTGTCGATCACGAGTACGCTTCAGCTCAATCCAGACCTAACGTCTGGAAAGCAAACATAGCAGACATCATGAAATCAGCGTCATTAGTAGATTGGAAATTAGATCCAGAGTCATCAATCGAAACGGCTTGGGACGTATTCCGGAATTTATACTTAAAAGTTACCGCCCCCCACATCCCTTGGACTACACCTAAGAGACCGAGAAACTCCCCACCGTGGTTCAGTAGGGAGGTTCGCATCCTTCTCCGTAAAAGAAGGAAAATGTGGGACAGATTTAGGTTACTGGGGACTGACGAGGCGAAATCTCAGTATCAAAAGGCTCGAAATACCTGTGCCTCGACCCTCCGTAAGGCCAGAAAGCTGTACGAAGAGAAAATCGTAAGGGAATCCATAGAATGCCCTAAACGCTTGTACTCGTATATAAACCAAAGGACAAAAAGAAGAAGGAATGTTCCTTCATTATGGGGAGACAGTACTGCCACATCACTAGTGGAGGATGACTTTGACAAAGCTCAAGTATTCTCTAAATACTTTAGCGATGTATACACCATAGAAACACCCTTCTCACCAGTCCATGAAAATCCACCCACACAAGCACTGGACAGCGTAACCATTAAAGAACTCGATGTCTTTGGTCTGCTAGTTAAGCTTGACATAGGTAAATCCACTGGACCCGATGAACTGCATCCTAGGTTACTAAAGGAATTAGCTAACTTTGTTGCGAACCCTTTAAGTATATGTTTTAATCTATCCGTAACCCAGGGTCGCCTACCAAAAGACTGGAAGAACGCCATAGTAAGTCCAGTCTTCGAAACAGGTACAAAACATAAGCCTGAGAATTACCGACCAATTAGCCTAACTAGTGTGGTTGTTAAAATCTTAGAAAAGATTATTCGGAAGGAACTGTTAAAGTATCTCGATGAAAACCGGATCCTCTCCGAAAAGCAGCATGGTTTTAGAACAGGTTACTCTTGTCTCACAAACTTATTAGTCGCTCGTGAAAGCTGGTGCGCTCTTAAGGACCAAAAATTACCTATAGACGTAGCTTACATCGATTTCAGCAAAGCCTTCGACAAAGTTCCGCATAACCGGCTGTTATATAAGCTAAGGAATGTCGGGATTGGAGGCAATCTATTGATGTGGATAAAAGACTTCCTAGTTGGGCGTCAACAAAGAGTAAGGGTGAACTCCAAGTTGTCTAGCTGGGAAACTGTGCTTAGTGGAGTCCCCCAAGGTACAGTTTTGGGGCCAGTGTTATTCCTCCTGTACGTAAATGATCTCCCTCGTCTACTATCGTCATCGATCTTACTCTATGCTGATGATGTCAAGATATGGAGAGCGATACAAAGCAAGAGCGATAGCTTAGAACTTCAAAATGACCTGGAGAGATTATCTGAATGGTCCCAAACCTGGCAATTGCCGATAAACACTTCCAAGTGTATTGTGATGCATATTGGCCATCAGGGTACAGATACATACACGATGAATAACACTGAGTTACCTATTGTTCAGGCACACAATGACTTAGGCGTCATCGTTAGTCAAGACTTAAAGACTACTGCACACTGCCGTGCAATAGCCGCCAAAGGTTTTAGGACTTTATGGTCCATACGCAGGGCTTTTAGGCATCTTGACGCTAAAACGTTTCTGACTTTGTATACAGTGTTCGTACGCCCTAAACTTGAGTACTGTATACAAGCAGCTAACCCCTGCCTAAAAAAAGACAGTGAACTCTTGGAAAGAGTTCAGAGAACAGCAACTAGGCTGATTCCCGGAATAGCGAAGCTCCCGTATGGTACTAGACTGACCAAGCTAAACCTATTCCCGCTGTCATATAGAAGAATCAGAGGCGACTTGATTATAGTTTTCAAATTGCTAAATGACAAATTTGCACCTGATATGCCCTCATTTTTCTTGTCTTCCAAAACAGAAAATCTACGAGGACACTCCAAAAAAGTTCACAAGCCCAGAACGAATTACTTGTCAGCTGACTACCGACTTTCCCATCGAATAATCAACGAGTGGAATTCATTACCTCAGCACGTGGTTGAGGCTCCATCCGTCGACTCCTTCAAAAGAAAGTTGGATCAGCTGAGAGACCATCATTGCCAGGACTAACACAGGCCACCAAGCCTCCTGTCCTTTCCAAACTGAAACTGAAACTACTCTATTTTCCATCTAGCTGTAGTTGAATTTCGAAAGGAGCCTATTTCAAACCATCTCAAACGCTAATAATGGTGGGATTTTAAGATATGAGGCCACAAATAAACCACAAATCCAATGTTTTAGATATCAAATCAGAACTTATTGACCTCCTAAGGCAACGAAAGAGCTTGACAGTAAGTGTCGTTCCCATCACCAAACTAAAGTGGAATATTAGGAAACACTGGGGGCATTAGAGCGTCAGATATATCTATTTGAAGGTAGCTATCTGGATGACACGGCTCCTTATGGGAACATCATCAAGGGTTGGGACAGATATTTGATGTCCAGCTCAAACTCTTTGGTTACTGGTAACTCCAACTTGTCATTTTCCAGGAATGTTGGAGACAAACGCGCTCGAAAGTTCCGAGATTCCGATCGCCTTTTCTCGAGGTCTTCAGTCACATCAGTTTCAGTAAGACTAATTTCTGACGAATTTCTGTTCTAGTCTTTAAATTTACAGAATGAAAATGATTCAGGTAAGTGCGCTCGGTGTAAAAACCCTAAATTCTAACATGTAAAAATGTAATGTGTCTTTGTAAGCTGTAATGTTTTGAGACTGCCTAATAAGGTCAACTTTTTTTGTTTATAAATGACTGCCTTTCAAGTCGATTCTCGGTATTTGAGTTTTCTCATGACAGGTCATCTCCAATAAGTCTAGTTTTCCGTACCTACAGAAGGACTTCCAAAACAGTATTCGGGAGTTCATGTCATACTTTAACAAAGATTCAGAGAAATCGTCCTAGGCCTATAAAAGATTCTGAACTTGGTTTTATGCTGAAGAATAGACATCATCTGATGCGTTCTTCCGGATAAAACACGACTAGTGACCGTGTTATTATTGTTCACCTTGGTTTTCAACAAGCTTTTGGTTAGTAATGGTGCTTAAGTTGCTGTAATTAACTTCTTAATAAGTTGTAAGCTCTTTAATACGTCTTGCAAACGTATTTGAAGTCCAATATTCCTCCAAATTTATCCATTTATTTTCCCTCGAATCATCCTCATTGTTTGGTACTTCTCACCATCATTGGCTCTAATTGTTTCAAATCGTTTACTATTCATTACTTGATCTAAATAATGTTTTTAAAAATTGTGGACTCTTTTCTCAATTAATGTGCTCTGTTATTTAGCTATTCTCATTAACTTTATTTCATATTATATGACGCATTGAATAAACCGATTTAGTGTGTTCAAAAATTTTGTCACTCATCTCAGTCAATAACAATGTACTTAGAGGGCTAGTTTACATGGTGCATTGTAGTTTACATTCATCGTCCTTTTCGTGATGTTTACGAGATCTTGGTGTATGCAAAGATTCACTTTCAAGTCCCTTTCCATAGTTGATTAGCTTTGTATCAGGTTGCCCCCAAATGCCCTGGTACGGCAAAGAGTGGGGAGAGTCCGCTCTCTCAAAATGCTCTTATATGGCCACGCGTATATAGCCTCTACCAGGGAAGTCCTACTCACTGCCTTCTTGCACCACGGGTGTTGTTTACGAAATTAAGAGGACAAGTCCACCTAGGGGAGTTGGAAAACCTTGATTGCAAACCAATGGCGCACATGGGCTCCAGTATCCCGAGGGAACAAATAGCGTATGAACCAATCATTGGCCACCGGCTACCGTGGGACTGCATCTCCTCACAATGCTCCACTGCCTTGTGGATCAAATCTTTAGGTCAAAGGCTCCGGGTGTGGCCCGCCTAAGAAAAACACCTGTTTCGGTTTGGGCACCTGAGCAGTATCACAGCCCTCACACAAATCAAATAAGATTTGTGTGGTGCATGTGTATCTGGTGCCACTTTGTACCAATATTTATGTGTTGAAATAAATAAATGTATCAAGGTTAATGTAATCATTGTGACGATAGACCACTTCGTTTCGCATGAATAAAGGTTTCTCTGCTTCACTTTGAACGCTACAACGATCAGTGATGCTACGTTCTGCTCATTCTGAAAGTTGCTCAAAGTAAATGTTGCGCAGTTAAATCTTGTCAGTATTACTGTTTAGTTTACTTTCGAAGTATCCAAATGATTATTCGTCCTGAATTTTTTAGGAGTTCCTCCCAATCTACCTCCAGTCAACCAAATCTCAGGACACTACAACCAGCCTTCTCCTAATTTCGTGTCCAATAGTTTCCCAGGAAATCAGTTCTCCCAAATTGGCAAGAGTTTTTCAGGTTTCAGTAACCCATCACAATCTGGTAAAAAGAAAAAATCTAGACAGCGATAGACCCTACCGAAATGACTCATAAATTGGTTTCAGAAATCTGTATGATGTGGACAAATGAATACCAGTATTTTAGAACTATATGGATTCCTCTGCTTTTTTGAGTACAGCTACACTCAAAAATCACATTTTTGCTAGTATTCAATCATTTGATTACATTTTGTAAAAGTATCCCATCAACATTGATATCTTTCCAACCTTCATAATCAACCAATATACATCAAACCACTATGGATTTTTTTAAAGAACAGTCTTGGGGTTAACTATTGTTAGGTGGGTATCACATTCTGTCATAGACATCATTTTTTTCGTTGTTTACACCAGTAAATTAAGCCAATCTTGAAAAAAGATAGACACCTAAACTCTCTTGTTTCGCTTAATAAGTAAAGTTATGTCGTTCTTCAGGTTGTGATAATTTTCAACCACTTCTCATACTTGTTCACAATGGCTTTATAGTGGGTTGAAGTTTTTATTTTCCTATTAAGGATTCAGACATGCTCTAAGAAAAATGAATTGCATATGAAGTAGGTGCTTGTAAAGATAATTTTGAGCATACTTGCGATACACATTAACACAGAACTCGTACTCTAGACTATATTTGATTTTAAATAGACTAAACATTCTTACAATTTACTTGTGGGTCACTTATATTTAACCTTGAGCTTTCAATAGTATTATACATTTTACAAATGTAGACACTGTTCAGGGTATTTGGACTTACCTAACAGGCACGAGGACGAAGTAAAATGGACAAGTTTTTGGTTAAGAGGAGAGTTGGTCAGTCAAATGCAACACGGTACACATGTGCACCGGTTCAAGCTTTCATACCCAAGATAAATTTTTTTTAGCAAAACTCAGAGTAGTGGAGGTAGCGATAGTATTAATGGTGATAGAAAAGACTAGGTATCAAAAGTTCGACTCAAGAAAATAACTAGTGAAATAAAAGGATTATGAAGAATTTAGGAACTAGAGGAATGTATATAGAGTGAATGCAATTGCGTCACATTGCAAATTATTTCGGACCATTGGTCACTTAGTTTACACATGTCAGTCCGATTGTCACTGACCTCAAACTGGTGCCACACCTTGGTTTGGACGTCCCTAGCTCTCTCAACATAGGAGTATGCACAAGAAATTTAAAAGGAAGAATCCAGTTTGTCAAGCTAATTTGAGATATTCTAGAATAATGGTTAGAAATGATTATTGGTTTGATAAATAATAAGCAACCATGTGACATAATTTACCCTTATCTGTAGTGACTCTTTAAAGCTGAGGTATATAAACGTCGAAGCACCAAATAAACGTTCGTAGATAGACAAAAAGATGTATTTGCCTAAGGCGAATCGGTGTATTTCGAAGCTTTTTTGTGGAGTATTTACAGCAGCAGTAGTAACTGTAGTTCTCAGAAGAAGTAAAATGAGATACAAAGTGATTTGTTCCATCAACATTACATATACTTGTCATTGCGCCTAGTTTTCGGATCAGCTTGCATTTAGTTAGGATGGAGGATTCATATAACTATCAACCAACTCGAGTATTAAATAAATTTCAAACGATAGGGATTAACAGACAAAAATTTTCCAGATACTCTTGATTGCTGTCCAGGTTTAGCGGCTAGATTATTTGAGACACTAGTTTAACTTTGGGAATTAGATTGATGCCATTTTAATAGAGATTACTGGTCTTTCCAGCTTACAGAAACGGGAATCCTCTTGTAATAAGCATGGAATAATGTATTTGTCTAAGTTTTTCAGATCTTCAATTAACATGCGTCACTCACAGTATAAGTAACGTAAGCATAGCTCGGAAAAAGACGATATCACAATGTATTTACTGGTTTGTGCCAGAAGTTACTGTTATGGAAAACGTACTTTAACTAAATAAAAGCAGGAACGAATATCCACAAATAAAAGTATGAGGTTAACAGTTGACTCACTAGGTCCAACTACCATTATCGTTACTTTAATTAGATAATTCCGAGATGGGAAGAAGTCGTAAAATCTGAGTTCATATGAAGCCACAGCGGAACACACGATCAGTGCAACAGAGGCATGAACGAAGCTACAAAGATTGTTAGTTGCGGACTTAGCTAAAAACATGATCGACCACATGGCAATCAAGAGCTAAAGACTTCGGGTCTCTCCAGTCTTGCCTTTATTCGTTTGTCAATCAGTGAAATATGAGTTTTCAGGATGTCCAGTATATGTGTAACCCTTTTGAGATTTGGAGGATCTTGACTATCGTTGCCATCCTCTTCTCACTAGCTTTTACCACCAGTCAGAACAATAGTATTGCAAAGTGGAAACAGATTTTAAACATTAAATCCTACAGCTTACGGTCTATAAATTGGAGAAATAGCATATAAACCCACTGTTACTAGTGTAGATTTTCCTTTTTCTGAGCCGTTATAAGGACCGAAATAGGTTTTTCTGGTCCCATAAAGTCTCAAGCTGCTCTCTGATCAGTTCTTTCATAAAATCTAATGCCATAAGGTTAGGGTTTGTTTCAGGATTAAGGAAGGTTTCAAATAAATTGTCGAATCGCTAGTTACATACAACCTGTAGAGACAATAGGCATTTGAAATATTGATCACATCCAGTTTGCTCCGTTAAGGCATTTTTTTAACCATTCTAAACGTTTAGGGGAGTATAATAGGTATTTCTAATGCTGACTATATATGGCATTCCGTTTTTGCGCAAAAGCCTAAAATTCGCGTTCTTGGTCACAATTAGCTGGTTTCAATACTATGCTTTTACCAAAAATCCTATTTTTACAGTTTATTTTTAATATTGACATGTCGACGTGTTAAAGGCAATCGTAAGTAAAATCCCATGCAAGAACAGATAGAAGTCCTAGCTGCTTAAGCTAGTAGTTTACGATAATCTACCTTATGCTATGCAGTAGTTACGGGAAAATCGGAATAGTACGCAAAGTCAATTCATTGATGAAGATATTGAACGAGAATTATCAAATAAATATCTAAAACTGTTATTGAAGAAAAAAAGGTAGACATTACGAACTTAATATGTACGTATTATTTGGTTAATTTTATTTTAAGAAAAGAATGCAAGACAGAGAACAATACCGACATAAAACTATTGGAAAATCATCCATAAAAGATGGGAGTGTGAATAATGAACAAAAGAAAGGAAAAAATGGACAAATAGTTATGAAAAATAGTAATAGACTGACCATATGCGAATAGAAATGAGTTCTGAGTAATGTTCTTGATATATAATGTACGTATGTATAGTCTTATATTCCAATCAATCTTCCGTCACCAAATTGGTCAACTTCCATTAAAATTTCAACTTTAGTTACTACTACATGTAAGAAGAAATGTAAAAACAGCTTTACAAGATAAACAATACAGATAGGAGTTGGTTGTAGGTAGGGTTAGAGGGGAATAGTATGCATATTAAGCACATACTGACAAAACTAGTTTATAGTAGAAATGTAGAAAGTCAAACTGTATCCTGTGTAAATAAATGTGTACTTTTATGAAAAAAAAGTGAGCATATTTCATACATATATGTATATATAAAACCAGTTGATTTGAATTGATTAGAAATAAGAATTTCAACAAAGTTAATGAATAAATCTAAGCACAGTACAGAAACGAAGATAGATAGAAGGAAGAAGAAAGGATGGATGGACAGAAAAAAAAACACAACTTGATTGCTTTCATTATTCTGCAATATCAACATTCATATGCACATAAATCCCACATTATAATGATATCACATCACAGTAAAAAGCCAGGCAGCTGCCGGTATTATTAGTTTTTGGGATAAAGACAGAGAGAATAAAAATAAACAAAAAAGGAAGGACATAAATGTTGAACACAAGATACAATCATAAAAATATTATCTTGTGTGTTGATCATAGTATGCGAATTAAGCCATTCCATAGCCCTCACTACATTCACGTATAGCCATCAAAAGTCTTGATCGTAGTTGTTCGTAGCTTTCATATGCTGGCAACACAAGTGTGTTAAAACTGTAAAAGGTAAAGAAAATATACAACAGATGAGTATATATATAAGTACATACGGTTATAAAACAATTAATAATATACGACTGAGTAAATTATAATTGCTTGTTCTTCATTAGAAATTCATACGTACTTGTGTATGAATTTGCTTTGGCGCTGAAACATAGATAAGTTGTTTTCATTAGGTAATCATCTTCTAGGGATTTCGATCTATAGATTTAATCCACAAACAAATAGGTAAATGTTGGAGATGGTAGTTTATAACTAGAGTAGGATTGGATGTCATTCCATCACTTAGGAACTTGGAGTTTATGAGAACCAACAGTTCGGAAATAAGGCTTCCAGGTTTCCTACGTATTCGGCAGATATGTTCAAGTATCAGGCGAATGCTTTTGCCATCTTACTTTTAGACGGTGAAGATCGTAAACGTGCGGCTGTAGAAGCGCATTTCGCGGAAGTAGGTGAATTCTCTCAGGTTGTACCATGTAATTCAAACAAAAAAACTGAATCGTGAGAATACACAACTAGTTATCTATCTTGTTAATCCGACAGGCAGAGATGAAACGTATTTAGTCATATTGTGATTATACGAACATTAATCTTTTGTATCATATAGGTCTAGAGACTTTCAATCGGCATTCAGCAACCACGTTCTAACAAACTTTCATAAAGTAGTATTACGATATAAACAACTTTCCTAACGTGCTTAGTAATTCACAAATGATTCACTGTTTAAATTTCTACCACTTTATTTTCAGTTTCAAGTTCAGTATAAAGAGCCGAGTGCTATTTAAACCCATTCAAAAATGTTTTGATTGTTGAGTTAAATTAACGCATGGTACCTGTAAAGTTAAACTTATCTTCTTGTTAATAACTCTTTGCTAAGTTGAATAGGTCAACTAAAAACTGAAAGGAAATAACTGTGGTCAATTCTACAATGTCAACAAATCGTAGTACCCAGCAGTGTGCAGTGTGAATGGGCAAATTAAGTTAGAACAAATCAACTTGAACTATATGCTGTCATCATATAAAAATGTTGCTGTATAATTGCTGAGTTATAGCTAACAACCAACAGAACAAATATCTTTTGAAAAGATTACATACATAAACATACATCAATTTTTATGACAGACACCACAAATTAGAGACGAGTAAACACTTACCAAGTATGTGCAGACGGTAAATGATTAGTACTTGAAACAGATGCACGACTAATTTGAAATTTAGTAGGACCATGCATTCCTTCTAAATTCATAAATCCACCTAATGGCACTTTACTAGTACCAGTGACGAATTGTAGAAAACGTGCTAAATCTTCTTGATCAAATGATTCTAATGCTTGCCAAAACCATTCAATTTGTGGTGAATTCGGTTGATATTTTGAATAAGTTGTATTAGCTTTTAAATCAACTAAATCAATATTAGGCAAACCACTAATCAGTAATTCTAATTCTTGTTCATTAAATATACTAATCATACGTTTAGGAATGATATCATAGAATCCTCTTAAGAAAGCATCAAGCTGTTGACGTATAGCACCAGTCATACGTTCTTGACAAACTAGACGAACATATTCTTTTTTGTTATTCTCAGTAACTGCTACATTTCGACCGTTTTCAATGAGGTCACGAGTGTCTGTTTTGCCAAATTCATTTATCTAGAGAAGAAAAAACAGATTACTTGGAAAAACAAAGCTGAAATTGTTACACGAAAGAGTAGTAAATGACTAAGAATAACCTAAAGTAATTGGAGTGCTACGGATACATATTTCACATGACATTTGTAGGTTTACACACAGACGATGAATGTTAGGTGAATCAAGGAAAAGCTTCCATGTAACATATCCAGAATAGTGTGTACAACATTTTAGTGGATCTATTGCCTGAGAATAGTTATTTGACTATTACCAATTTAACTTTCATAATTACTTCGTTAAAAAGATTAATCTTCTTATTGTTATTGTGAGTGTCGCTATGCTGTGTAACGGTTGTTCAGTTTGTTCATAATGACAGGGAGTGAAGTAGTTGAGTGTTTCAACTATTCCACATATATTTTCAGAGTCTTATTATTCATGATGGGTTAGTGAATTTTCATTGAATGTGAGGCGTCTAAGATATATATTACGTATCCTTAACTATCTGGTAACTTGATGGGCGATGATGGCTGGTTTAAGAGTACATTGGAGGGAAATTGAAAACAACCAAACATAACATTAGACCATAAAATCAATGACTGGTGTATTGGGTCATGTAGGAAAATTCAACCTACTTGGTCCGGGTTCGTATAATTATCGTAGCCAATGATTATAGAATTTGGGTGATAAAGTTGAGAACAGTTCGTAATAGTTCAGGTGTATTCTTTTTGTCTTTCCTTAGACCCTACATTTTTTAAAAACTAATTTACAGATCTTATTTTATAAGTCCACATTTTCACAAATCATACCTCAGATTCTTTTTCTTTTCTATGAGCATGAAAACTAGTACCACTTATACTACTCTAGCATCTTGTTATGTTGGTGCGTCGTAGCAATTTGAACCGATGCATGTATGTATTGCGTTTTATATCGTTTCTGATATGACATAACAATAGTCATATTAGTAGTATTTTATCAGCCATATTACAACCAGCACAAATAAGTCAATTTGGATGATGACCTCAGTAGAAATTAAAGACAACCAATTGTTTGATATGCTAAATCACTATGGTGTAAGAGATATGCCCAACTGAACATCCTATTCAAATTATGGTTCGATAGTAACATCATCATATCTCTACACATAAATTTACATCTTACGATAATATCAGCTTAAATATCATTACACATTCATAACTATATTAAAGGAATACGATGTAAAATATAAAAATACCTCGGTACTAAAGGTTAGTTCATAACCCAAATCAGATACATCGTGACTTAAGAGAAATTCCAATCCTTTGAAAAATTCATAATCTTCACTTTCTAAATCTGAGCACCTGTGGATGGGTGGAAATAATAAAATGAAAAGAAGGACAGAATTTAAATGATTTAGTTAAATATGAAAATAATTATTAAATGGGAGATAACTTTTCTTGTCTTTTTTTCTCGTGTATTTGGCAGTTCATATGCTTTTATAGAACAAGAAACACTGGGAGTAGTCAAATTTTGTTGTTTTCTAAATAAGAACACATTCAGACTTGGTTTTACGAGATAGAGAAATGACTCATGATGATGATACCGATAACGTCGCACTGCCCGTTAACTTGACTCATACGACACAATGCAAGAACAATGTTCAAAAATTGCTACAAAAAACACTACAGGTGATGAGTATGGACATAAGATGACACTAAATGTAACAGATTAACCGATTCGATGCAGCCATCTTGGTTGAGAAAGGCAAATTGAAGTCGAGACATTCGAAAACGAGGTAACCATCTCTTAACCAATATCTGATGTAAACGAGCAGTTGACTTTCATTAAATAATCAACTCAAAAACAACAGAAAATTTAACTATTCATAGGAGACTTCTGTATACAATGAAATATATTCGATCTTTGCCTATGTACAGTTTGGTAATATATTCATTGAAGAGATCATAGGCGTGAACTTAAAAATCAAAACAAATCGCGCTCTATCTAACGATCATGATTATAACTCATACAAGCACAAACGAAAATCTTATGAAAGCTTAATCTTACCTGACAGGTACTCCCAAGATATGTTTGTAAAACGCTCGTGTGAAATAGCATTCCAGAAGTTTATTATCATTGATAGCTTTAGCAATAAAACGTCCGACAAATTTGAAATAAGACAAATGATTACTATTAATGTAAGAGCTTGGATTAATTGTGTATGTAACTCGATCTGCGGGAGAGACGCGGAAAAGGCAGTAGTTTGGATTGAAAATTTCTCGACTCATTAGTAAGAACCATTCTCTCAATGGACCGCCGGCATCTTGACCCTCTTCGTCTAACAGGTACGAAAGAATAAAGACGTAATTACTAGTTTGATGAGTGAACAGTTTGAAGTATAAAATCTTTGAAGTAGACAAAACGAAAATTAGGTAACGATGACCAAACGGTTAACATGAATGACTGATTGGAATTTTAATGAAACCTGGATTACAAACGGTACTCAAAACACCAACATAATTCACTAGCCTAATGCTATTATTCGGTTTTGAATATTCTCGTGATTACATTTTAGGCAACTGACTGTCTTTTGACTAAGGATCACAATAAAATTAACAGTAGGTCTCTAAACCACCATCAATGAAATAAATAGATATACACCTACGAAGGACCTGGTACATTTTGCAACAATGCATAAAAAGAAAAGACAAATTTTAAAATAGATTAAATGGGTTCAGAATCTCATAGATTGATTTTACCTTCTTACAAGGGAAAATATAAAGGATGAATTCATCTTGTTGACTTGATAATTGGATTATAATACTGGGGATAATATGAAAGTATCTAAGCGTAATCTTGAAAGCTACAAATCATAGTTGCAGGATAGAAAAAGGGTGAAATGCAGTGAGTTAGAGTGACCTAAAGTGCTTCATTTCAAATTGGAGAAATATAACTAACAGCAAACTAGTTATTTATTGAAAAAAATAATGTCTGAAATTGACCAAAGAGAGGAAATGAGCTTTGAAATGTCTGAGTTAATAAGGAATAAGATCACACATATGCTATACACTTGACAAGCATAGTAAAACAACAAAATCAACATAACAAAACTCACTTTGGAAGCGGATCACAAATTTATGTTTCCATTCACTCACGGATCTTCTGTGTAGTCTGGCATAACTATCTTCGAATATTCGATCCCTTGAGACAGTTATTGGATCATCATCATATCGGTTACTGGATGTTGAACGATTAGATAATGATTGTAGCTGTTGTCGGAAAAAGCGACGCTTAACGTCAAAATCAAGCACTCGGGGATAAGCCAAAAATACAGCGAAAGGTGATTCACCTATATTAGCTCCATGATGACGAAGAACTTGACTTAATCCACGACGATATTTATCTGCGAATTCAATTATAGGATTTTTAGAAAATGGACTTTGAGATGCAGTTGCCGAATTAGTTGAAGTACATGCTGTAACTGTTAAATCCTCTCCTGCAGTAGTGACATCAGGGGACTGAGGTCCACCAAGATCAAAATACAAGTGTGAGAGATGATCAGTAGTTGATGATCTATTAGTATCAAGTTCTGAATGAGATGTGGAATCAATACACATATGTAAAAGTGGCACCATATCGATAAAGCTTAGTGTACCTGAAGAACAAGAATTAGTACGACTAGATCGACTGTTTGTGGAACGTTGACGAAGCAGAATAGTTTCTTTCACCAAATGCACATGAGCCAAACAAAACACTTCTAGAAGAGGCTGCAATAGTAGAACAGCATTTTGATCATCTAGCGCTTGAAGTTTTTCAAATGCTTGGCACAAATGATCCCAGAATTCATTCACACCAGGTACAGAAATTAACAGATCATCAGACGATACAGGGATTGGATTTGAACCAACTAGTGAACTGTCTCCAGCAGCAATACGTAACATCAAACCCAAAATGCCACGAAGACGACATTGGTCATTGTTAGGACATGTGAAAACTTCAGAAGAATTCAACTGTAAGTCGGAAAACTTAGTAGCAGACTGAAAACGTGAATCGCTCGATACAACTACCATTTGTCCGGGTATACCGAAGCGATCAGGGAGAACATCATAAGAAGAAATACGACTTATTTCTGAAGGATAACGAGATGAAGACGGTTTGGATAGATCATACGTTGGAAGAGAGTCTAACGCCTTCCCTTTCAGTCGCTTATCAACTTCAGACACAAGACACTGAAAAGAAATAGGATAATAGTATTAACAGAGAATTGAAAATAAAGGAAACTTTAATATCACGTTATATTTGATAAATGAAGTGACGATTGCCTCAATAATTGAACAGAGGTTAACTTTCGACACAATTAAGTTGACAAGAATTTATGAATTGACAAATACTACCGACAGAAATTTATTGATATTTGTGAATAAACAAACTAAGGAGAACAAGACGGATGTGTCTATAGACAATAGGAAATCCATATTTATAAATCTCGAATTCAAATGTTATAACGTCACAAGCACAATCCATAGGAGGCTTAACAATGCGCGAACAAAGAATTTACACGAGAGTCAAACTATTAGCTCTGTATAAAACAACATGTTCAATAGCCCAAACAAAGGATGAAAGTATCCATTCCATGTGACCGCCAAATATATCTATAAATAAACATGTATCTATCAGAACGGTCACAACTTTATAGACGTTAAGCTTCAGTTGTAAAGACGCGAAATTCAGCTCTTTTAATCAATTTAAAATGATATAGTAAAACATGAAAAGACAGATTTGTGTAAGTTGTTGTTGATAAAAATGAGGATCAGTGACCCATGCAAGTTATGTTACAACAACAAGTTTATAGGGCAGTTATAATTCATTTGGTTTGAAATGCAATCTGGAGTAGGGAGTTCACTAAAAAGTATCATATGATTACAAGAAAAATTTTCATTAGATGCTTTCAGTGTTTGTTTTGAGAGGAGAGTGATCTCATAAAAGTGAGTGGTTGTTGAATTTGGACAAGCCTGAATAAGGATGTCGAAATACTTTAATTTCAAGTATAAAGTGCAGACAGCTTCAGGGGTCCCGAACAGATGGATCCTAGTAATGTTTCTTTATTTATTACTAGTTACGTCAAGATTAAATATTAGTCATCGACAAACAATAAGTAATACCTGTAACTGGTCGGATATATTTGAGATCAATTGACCTGCTGTAATTGACAATAAACGAAGAATTGATTCCTTCATAATTGGATTTGCTTGAGCCAAATCGGTAATCAATTGTGTGGTCATTATACGAGCAGTTTCAGAAAATTTAGGAGCTAATACAAGTTGACAAAGAGTTTCAATAACTTGTGGTCTTAGTGGACTCATTAAAATATTAGACGAATTGGATACTGGTGGCTGAGTAGAAGATGATTGGTCTTCTGGAATAGAGGTGGGGACACTTTCTGCATCATGTGAAGATTGTATGTCAGTAGTAGATTGTTGTGATGACATATCTGTTGGATTCTATGTGAAAATAAACAAATAAATTAGGATTAATAAAAATTATCAAAAAAAGTTTAACATTAGTGGACGGTAATTCAATGTTTATAATTAGATTTCCATGACATAAATTGAACACTAGAACATAGCACTTCAGAGTCACGTAGACTAAATTCATTGGTCAACAGAGACATGAAATTGTGGTATTGAGTCTTTATCACCCGTTCCTAACCTCTACGACAGTGAAAATAAAATAACAGTAGAAATGTATAGAATGTTTCAATGTTTTATCTGCTATATATTTTTTATAACGTGGATTCTGATTTGAGACATGCTTCACTTACTTTTGTTTGGATAATTAGAAAGTATTACTAATCCCAACGCTAAAGGAGTAATTGGAAGTAGTATGTATAAGAAGTTTGTTGAGTTACACTATTCCTTTAAGACATTTACATATGGTTAAGACATTAATTTACTGAAAAATGTAATAAAAGCTTCAGTTAAAAAATAGTTATAAGTTGATAGAATTAAGTTGTAAAGAACGAACACTCAGATGTAAATAACCAAATTTATTGTTTAATGCAAAATCACAGGGTGTCTTCATAAAATATGAAAACCATAAATTAAATACATCATTCGCACATCTTCCACCACTTATCTCTTACAAACTTTATCGTTCCTTCATTCCCGTTGTTATTATAATTACTCTTTGTTTACACTATTGTTCTCTTCAATTCGATCTCAACATTTTTCTGCCAGGTATTCCACTTCTGACTGGTATTACGTATGTGTCAATAGAAGTAGCATACACCACGATGTGACTTAAAAATTCATCGAGGAAGTCATATCACCGGGGAAAATAATTCACAGAGGATTAAGAAACATTGTTTAAGGAAGTACAGATGTGTGTAACAGATTACTAGTTCATTAAAAGAATTTAATCTTAAAGCGCTAGTGTATCAAATACGAATACTGAAGTGATGATATGTTTAGTTGAAACACTTGACTTTCAAAGAGCAAGTTTAAAATCTACTTCATTTGGACAATCCTTACACAAACAGTGCAGCTCATGGATCAGTACATAAAAATTAGCACCTGAGTTCGATAAACAAGGTATATATTTCTCTTACCTGTTGATTTGTATCGGTCAAAATAGTATTTACAGTGGTTGGTGTAACAAGATTAGTTGGATGAGTGGAAGCCCGGGCAACAGATATATTGGAATGAGATCGACTAAGCAGGAAATCTTTGACAATCCCAGCAAGAATAGTTATGAGGCGTTCTTGATGATTTGGACGATCGTGTAATAATTGATGACAAAGTAATTCAGATAAAGCAGTGAAACAATTTACGGTCACTGGTGTAGTATTGGTAGTAGTAATAGACTTGGAACTATTATTGTTACTGTATTGTGTTTCATTTGTTACTTCTTTCATGGAATCATTTTCTAATATATCTGCTACAAGTAGTAATATTTTGTAAAGATAAAATGGTTGGCACGAGAAAGAAATAAAAAGAGGGACATATTTTAGACAACGATGAAAACCAGAAAACACTAAATAACTGTTTTATCATAGTGTTGGACTTCTAGTTCTCATCAGTAGGCGTAAAGAACCTGGGTTCAATCCCTAGTGGTGTCATGGATGGGCATGACTGATAATCGTATAGTAAAACGAAACAATAGTTTATTGCTTTCTGGTTCTTTAACAAAGGTTAGCCTGTGATGTACGTTATCAACAGTATTAATATTGAATAAAAAGTATGTTTCAGGTACTATAATAATCATGAGTAAGGCAGTATATCAATTTCGTTAACTTATTTTGTCTTCTTCTTCTTCTTCTTCTTCATAAAAGTAACATTTTTCTACACTGAATACAAAACTACGACAGTATATAGTGTTTAGATTAAAAGGTGAATCAATAAAAAATTCACAATAATGGACTTACATAAATACTGTTACTACACTGAGATTTGCCCTAACAATTTTATCTCGGTATGGTTAATGGGTTATAACATCTTGAACCGATGTACACATGTACCAGGCTTTATGTTGCGAATAGATTAGATGAAATACAAATGTTTGACAATACATTACCACTACTAAATATTATGCTATGACGAAAGTTGTAGGAGGGAGATCATATCCTAAACCGTTACCATTGAAAGTAAATAACAGACTGTTGACATGACTTGTGTAAATTCCGTATTGCATACTATTCGGTGATAAAAGTTCAATCTTGCAAAAATAAAACCGCCGTAATGGTTGTAACCCACAAATTTAAACTGTTTTAAGTCCACTCTATGGAGAGTATGCACAATTTTTCACTTTAAAAAATATTGAATGGTTAAGTAATGCCATATACTTAGTAATTCTATAACTATTAGTAAATTGTATACTAAAAATAATTTTAGAAGGGGTTTTGTGGAGATTTAGTATTGATCATAGTTGAAAGCGTGAGTCAATTGAAGCTAGACCACCATAGAAAACTTGGAAACACTGGACGGCCGTTTCGTTCTATTATGGGACTCCTCAGCAGTGCGCATCCACGAACCCGCTCTCGCGAGATTCGAACCCAGGACGAAACGGCCGTCCAGTGTTTCCAGGTTTTCCATGGTGGTCTAGCTTCAATTGACTCACGCTTTCAACTATAATAAAAATAATTTTGTCTGCGGAATCAATATTTTTCTACAGACTGTGAATAAACATTGGGTGTGAAACTGTAACACCACTCCAATCACCATTTTACACTCTTCCTTAGATCCGTATTTAATATTCGTTAATTCACATTCGTTCTAAACAGTCACTTAAAATTCATGCTTACCCAAATAAAGTAAAAATTCAACTTTTCTAAATACAATAATCACCCAACAATTTGCACCCACCTGATGATGCCGATGCTAACTGTGTGTGTGTACTGTACTAATTTTCAGATTATGAAATTATGATTATTATTACTATGGATTATAAAATCTAATTGTGATAAATGCAGTATAGGAAGAAGTTGGTTTAAAAGTAAGAGAGGTGCATCAGATAAAATGTGTCTAATATGTAAAAGTACATGGTCAATAAACACCTTTTGATGCAAAGAAACACGAAAAAAAACATCCAAAAGCAAACTTTTTTTTTTACCTGAATACGATGATGAAGATAATGTCTCAGTGGTTGTTAAATTAGATGATTTATGACATGGATTTATAGATGTTTTCGGTGTAGATGCTGAAGACACTTGAGTCGAATCACTTGCTTGTTGTTTGTCAGAAATTGAAACAGGTCTTTTTCTTGATGAAATTCTTGCTCGTTTAACTACAGGTCTTGTGGTAGATCCAACAGGCAATGAAGTTATGTTAGATTGGGAAAGTCGATTGAATATATCCCAAAACGATGTAAAAGGAACTATTCACAAAACATAAGTAAGTAAGCAAATAACAATTTGTAGAAACTGGTAATAAAATATTAAAACAGAATTTTCACCAGTGTTTTAACAAGAAAAAATGCTTGGAAATTTAATTAGTTGTTGGCATCTGTATCGAATGATGAATGTCGACTTGAAATGTGTATGGTAGATGAGAATAGTGATGAGCATACAAACCTAGACTGAAATAAGTTGTTAGAATAATTTTTTGTTTGCATTGAGATCTTCATTTAATGGATCAGCCAGAAAAGTAGGCTTCTTGGGTGGGCGACTTGAAATTGACCACAGATATAAGTTGGTTTATTTAGAAATTAGACAATAATAAATGGCGAATGAGGGTGTCATTCTACTTGAGACTCGTAAACCGAAAAACACAAAAAACTGAATTTCAGTGCAGAAGCGTACGCTTATTTTGAACGCAATGCTATTATACAAAAAAACGTGCACGATCATAATAAGCTGCTGTTTTTGTCACGAAACGACAAGTTGTGCGGGATCAAATAAATAACGACAATTAGGTCCTAGATATGTGTTTTAAAGATTAATGATGCATACATGAAACATTCACGGCGTCGGCGTTAAAATTCTCTACTTCTATTTATACTACACTGAAGCAGAATGGAACGATGTCACGGTACCTAAGAGAATAAGTATCATCTTTAATTTCACAACAAATAAGCTCAGGTTCTATGTCTCTTTGACTGTGAAAGAAATAAGCATTTTTGTCGGATATCTTATATCAGGACTACAATCGTTTAAGTAAATATTTATAAGACAATAGTGATACTACGCTGTCGCCTAAACAGAAGTGAGCAGAGTGGGATCAGAATGCGAGACATGATATATGAGAGCTGAATAACTTAACAACTGATGCACTGTTCCACTCCTAGTGGAGACCGAAGTATTATAATAGTGATATTTTATTTACGACACATTTGCGTGAACAGCTGTCTGATGTCAGAAGATCTGTATGACGGCCATCCTGTTATAAAATAATAATGATAATATTTACTTTTTACACTAAAAATCGAAAATACTTACTATCAGTGCTGTGGGAAGTCCCAGCAGACTCTGACTGACATGCTTCTGAAGGATAGAAATGTGATGGAAATGCACGGGTTAATTCGTTCAGAGTTTCCAGGAGGATACCAGCAACAAAAACTGCTCCTTGAGGATGTATAATATATCGAACAGGAGTCGATGAAAATGTATCTTTGGAATAAGTGGGCACAACAGTATGAGAGTCATTTTGAAGATAAGGTGTATGGCTTAGGTTTTGAGGAACTGGATGGAATATCCTTACCCAGCAACCCAAGGCAGCTTCAAATCCAGTATGGAACAATGTGTTGTTAGACATCGGTTTCGTAGAATATTTGAATTCACTTTCGGAAGCAGGTAGAGATACCCCACGATCATGTGAAGTACTCGGTATTGGTTCACATTCCTCTATGGACGGCACAAAACTGGAAGTTGACTGTAGATTTGGGGGTGGTTTTTCAGACAATCCATTAAACAGAGATATGATAGTGTTTACAATCCAGTTTCGTGTAGCAGAATGGCAAGACAGATTACGCAGAACCTAAAAAGTTAATCATTTTACAATATATAATTTACCAAGTCCTAGGGAATACAAAACCACAAAGATATAAACCATAAAAGGAACCAACAAATCAATAACAAAATGACTAACACACTAGGACTTAGTCAGATGGGGACAAAAACGAGAATGAAAGTATGCACTGTAAATATACATCAAAATGTAATAACAGAAATGGAAGGCAGTAAAAGACATGGAGATCAGCAGAATAAGCAAGTTCATTACAGCAGAAAAATCACACCAAATACTTGAAGACGATAAATCTGTTGGATAAGAAATAAAAGATTTAAAGGTTGTGCAAATCTAGTGATATAAAAAACTTGTTGATACAAGTGTTCAAATATAGACAATTAACAACGTAAACACAGTACTATACTACTTACTTTCTTCACTGTAGGCACTATGTTTTGTCTTTGATTAGAACATGAAGAACTGGCTATAAGCAGTACTATTATACATGTTAATCCTTCATGATCAATTAAATCACGACTAGATAAACCAGCCATTGTACGAACACCTAGAGCATTATTCAAACTTAATGAACCATCTATATTGTTAGGATGAACTACAATTTGATCATTTGAATGAAATCGAACAATCCAACGTCCTTGTCCACCACCACCTAGTAATCCAGAAGTGGTGGTGAAATTACGCCAAAAGTCTTTAGAAAATAAAATGGATGAATAATGTTAGACAAGAATAAAAATTTTGGACAAAATCGTTATGAATATTCACTAAAATTTGAACGAACTGTTAGGTATAAATCGGGCGCAGAGTATATACATTGAACATGAAAATTGTATTAGAACAGTTGCGAGAAGTGAAAATGAAATAATTTCAACGTTTCGGCAAGCAAGCTATTTTAAACTTCACTTCAGGGGTGAATATACTCGATTATATTGGCATACAAAACGTTGGGACTAGTTAATTTTCAATTGCTGGGATTATTCAAATACAATTCTTACATTTCATATTGGTGAAAAGGTGTATATACTTCGCATGATTTCACTTCATAGTGAGCTAGACAACTGAAATATGCAGCTTATCAATATAACAGATTTGTCTAGTGTGTCCACGAAAAAGTAAAACTAGTAACTCTAAACTAATCTATTATATATTTCGATTGTTTACAGTAAACAAGACGTATTCACATTTGTTTTCGATTTTAATTTCATGAGTACATGTGCGTGATTATTTAGTGTTTTGCAGTTCCGAATTATGGATAAGTGAAGCTTTGCAATAAGTTTATTGTGGGTAGCTAAGTGAAGTATTATTAAAATGATGAAAACAAATTTTCTCGTATTTCATGACACTAAAACTGTCTTATACGAAACTTTTTCTTCCTAAGTAAACGGGTTTTTGACATAGTGGGTAATCGAGAAATTGTGTGATTGTCATTCACTCCCATGAATGATAATTAATCCACGTTCATGATCAGGCTCCATCAATCACAACACACTATCAATTAAGCAGTAAAAAACAACCACCCCCGAATTTTGAATATACTATAGCCAATGGATGACATTTGTGATCTGAGGAACGAATCTTAATGAAAATTTAAGTTACTTACGATAAGGTCGGGAATCATTGGAATGAGCAAAAATACCATTTTGAACAGCTCGAGCATAACGTTCTTCATGCTCTCGACGTAATCTGTTAGCTTCAACGACCAAATATTGGGGAAGTGTTTCCAACTGTGATTCTTCCATATCAGCCAATACTTCACGAAGTACAGAAGGTGGTAGAGACACAAGAAATGCAGTATTACTGTCAGTTGTATTTTGTGTAGATGGCGGTTGAGCAGTAGGTTGTTCAGTTGTATCTATTTCACCAGAGGTGGTTGCAGAGGGTTGGGTGGAAGACTGTTGTTGCTGCTCTTGACGAAATTGTGCTAGAACCTAAGAAGATAATAATATTTCTTGTCATTACTATAACGGACCTATGATCGAAAAATTTTTCATACTCACAATAGGTCTCGAAAACAATTTCAAAGTCTCAATGTTTTCTGGGTTGAGTAATTCATAACCTCTATAAAAATGGGTCGCACACTTTTTAATATACAAAGTACGTGTTAGACATTCTTGGGACTGATTATATATATAATGTAACCTTGAGACACAATCGCATAAAGGTGCAATTCTGAGATTATGACCATCAATAATATAGTTAACAATGATGAGTTTTAAAACAGACTGTGCAATATGAAGCGAACTGTAGTTTACGAGTTCAATAAGTAGTGTATCCACGAAAAAGAAATAAAAATGAATAAGCGAAAAAAACTTATTTAAAATGAATAAACAGCGATGTCACACATAGTATTGTAAATTTTTTCAAGTTGAGCACTTTTATTTAGCTAGATTGTCAGCTACAATAAGTGAGACATAAAATGCTATGTCAGAATGAGCATTAGATTGTAAGAATCCTATCCTGACTCCATCTTATAAATTGATTAGCTCTCCACTACTTCCAATCAGTCCTAGTGTTGAGAAAACAAAGTACGATGTGAGTAGTCGTTGATATATGACATTCTTGATTTATGTTAAAGCCACCGAAGCTGGTAATCCAAGAAAGCGACAATAGCTCATACTCATACAACCACCCAGATACGCTGACTTTTCAACTACTTCTAACAGCTCATTATATAGTGTGTGTAGGCGTAGGATCCTATCAATTTAGTAAAAGTACTTTGGATTTAGAAGGTGGAAAGTAAATGTTATAACCACGGACACTGTTTACCAACTGACTAAGTATGAAGGATTGAATAGAATGATTATCACTACACAGTAAGTAAGACAATATCATCAGCATATTTAAGATCGAAAAGTCTATTTCCAGGAAACAGATCCATACCACTGGTACCTACTTCCAGCTATTGAACATAGACGGAGAACCCTAATCCACAATAAGTAAAAAAGTGAATTCACGCAGAAATACACCACGAGACATAACAGATATAAAAATAAACGGTGTATTCAAATGGTTACCTCTTCTTGAATATGAGGTGGAAGTCCAGTCAGCCATTCTGAATTAACATGTACTGGTAAACTCATAGAATTGATTCGTTGTTGGACTTGTCTTGCATAACGATGATCTGCAATAACTTCTTGTCGCATTTCTTCCGGTAATGCATCTAAAAATGATGGATCCATTCCACCTTCTACTAATGATTGAATAGTTTCTTCATCAGTCATAACAAGTGATCTTGTTGGTGGTCCAGTGGAAGTATTAGTAGTAGGAGTGTCATTAGAAGATGCTACAAGATTTGATATATTTTCTATGGGATTTGTAGGTTCTGGCTCATTTTGAACAGGTAAAATAGCTGGATTTGACATAGCTTAAATATTAGAAAATGATCATAAATATAAACAATAACAGTTATAATATATTCTTGAAAAAAAGATTACATTGAGATAATAGTTTGAGAAAAGGTATCTCTTTTAGTCCATAATCAGTTGAATATGAATATATTGACAAAAAACGATCATGGAAATTGCACCGTTTATAATGACAAACTACGAAAAAAATGTAACAATATAAAATGGTGAATATTTGCTCAAAGCTATGAGACAAACAATAAGAAACGAAGTTCCGCTATAAAAAAACATGATTTGTTTTCAAAAGAAAATTACACGGTTTAATTCTAGTAAACACATGAAGAAACCTATTGAATTATCAATATTTAACTAACACAAATTAATATGGCTACTTGTTTCAAGCACAGTATTCAGAACAATCATATGGTTATATAATCCAATAAACTTTATCTACTTTTATTCAGATTACTATGTAGAGCTGTCTGTCAGTGAATAGTTAATGATCCTCTAATCTGTTATTATTATACTAAACTGTTTTATGAATACTCAATTACAGTACAAGGTTGTCAACAAAATACATGTGGCTTTATGAGTAAAGCATTCGACTTTTAACCGACAGATCCCAAGTTCAAACTCCTCTTTACCTACATATAGTCACAGTAACCGAGTAGTATTTCTAGATGTCGTACTTGAAGTGTGTCTCAAAACAGAGTAAATAAACCTGTGATTGGTAGTGGAATTGCCAATTAGAACATAACGTCCTTCTTTTTAGACACTTTAAAGCAAAAAGGAAATAACGTTATTAGGACTGTAAAATAAACATTTACAGAAAGATGAAGTACAATAATGAATACAAACTGATAGCTTTGTAACTGATAGGTTTTGTAAATTGAAATGGCAAACCTACTTAAAACAAACGAAAATCCAATTGAGGAAGTAATAATTATATGTGTTTATTATTATTCATTACTATTAACTTGTTCACTGAGTAGGTTATCTACAAGCCACACTACATGTGCAAGTTAGTAATAATACTCCGTTGCTTGGAAAGCAAATCACGTGGAATGGATTTCCAACCTGGGACTAATTGACTAGAAGTCGAATCCTTTAACCACTGAGCTGCAGAGATAATATACTGCTAGAGATCAGTTTAGTGTGTACCATTATAAACAAATGGTACATGACTGAGATATTAAAAAGAATTCATTATAACTTACACACATCTGATGAAATCGATATTTCAGATGCTTCATTAACACATACATCCGGATTAATTTGATTAAATGTAGCTGCACTATCGATAGAAACAACAGGTAGTTGTTGTTGTAAATCCACAGAAGATTCTTGAGTATAACCTGAATTTTCAGACGTTGACACGCAAGTAACAAGAGGAGTGGCAAATGTTACAAATGTTTCTGCAGATTCATTAGCATTATTATTAGTAGAAGTCAATGTTGGAGCTGCAATCAGTGGTTCATCCGGCGAGCTAGTAACCACAGGTAAGCTGAGTATTTCATTTTCTGAAATACGCAAATTGTACAGTTCATGACGTTTCTGTTCGAGTGCTTTATAAATATGGTGACGAGCCAAAAGAATAAGATCCATAACTTCATGCCCGAATAACATTCGGGATAGATTGGTCCATCGTCGATAATGGGGTGGTAGAGCATAACCTGCATAAGGAGTTAGTCCTCTAGAACGAATATCCATTATTCCTTGTTGATTTCTACTAGTTTGTCCTTGTGAAAAGAACCTAGAAAATATAGCCGCACTTAGAGCGGAATTAACAGGGGAAGGTTGATCTTCAGCTAGACTTGTTAGCATTGTCCACACCAGTGCATCGGCTTCTGGTCCAGAACGATTATCCTGAGCATTGGCAGTGATTTGACTGCAAAGGTGACTACTGCTAGATTCATTATTAGCATTTGGTTGTGACTCGGCATTAAATGACCGATTGAATGAGGTTTGGTGACGTGAGCAACTACCGGAACTTGAAGGGAGGTGAGATGCAGTTGTGCCTGGAAATCGATGACGACTGCCATAAGATGGTGGAAATTGTTGTTGAGGGATCGTTGGTGGAACGTAAAATACACGATTTACTGGTGACATAGAAACTGCATCTGCAATGATTGGTCGACTTAAACCTAAACCGCTAACATCAGTAGCAAGTTGGCCTCGAGTCAGACTATTAGAACCACCTGAACTAACACCATCTGGTTCAGATTCAGCATTAAATAGTCGGCTAAATGAAGTATGATGGCGTAAACCAGTAAGACCAGAGGAAAGATGTGGTCCAGATGAACCTGTAATCCGATGACGTGTACCATAATGAGGAGGAACGTGTTGTGGTCGCGGCAGAACGCCAAATACACGTAAGCCACTAACGTTATTGGTTGATGTATTGTGACTGGATGTTCCAATGTTTGTGTCAATTGTTGAAAGACCAACATTAGTTCCAGTGGTTATCGGTACCTAAAGTTGTAGAAACACAGAGGAATAGTACCACATAATTTTAAAAACGTTCAATTGGAAGTCAATATTTAGTAAGTAGTGAGCAAACATATTTGAAGCCAGTCAAACATGAAAAAAGTAGGTGGGGCGAATGTGCCCGTCAAAACTGTAACACAAGCTTACAACCTAACAAAACTAATACAAGAGATTAATTACCACGGCCATCGAAACTATCAGTAACTTTGAGACGTGTAATAAATCCTGAATTGGAAGAGACGCACATTCTAGATTCCATTGCTAGACACATTCCATCTATTCTACAAAGAGATTTTAGTTAGTTCTTTGTGTTAAATCTATGAAGATTTAGTGAAATAAAGAATCTAAGGTTTAAAATCATATTGATTTACTTCATGTAAATCACTTTAATATTTTTTTAAATTTAGAACATCATAACTATCTACTTACACGTTTATACCTAATGATTCCCAACTTTTTATTATGGATCAGACCTAACAAATCTTGTAAGCGAATGTAATAGGATAACAGTACAAAACAATATGAAAAACATACCTGAAGTAAAGGATGCTGATTTGCCAGGGTTGCAGCTGGTACTGCTTGAATAGATTGAGAAGTATTAAGACCTGTCTGATTATTTGAAGAATAAACAAAATTTACACCAGATCCCAAACGAGTTGAATTGCTTCCACCTACAAATACTGATGCTTCAGGACCGAAACGGAATATAGTAGTACTTGTTGGTAGGTTAGATTCACCATCAAATGGAATGTGTCGAGAACCATGACGAGCAATTAAATTTGTAAAAGCAGGCAGAAGATAATCCCAGTTACCGGTAGAAGAACCTCGCGAATGAACATTTAAGGTTGACAAACTATTTGTTCCAAGATCTCTAAAACCATTAGATGAGATTACATTCAAAGGTGGAGCAACTACTCGACGAAGAGTCTCTTCAACCACAGCTGCAACTGAATGGTTTCCATGAGACCCACGGTTTTCATTGGGAAAGATAACACCAGGTATATCGGAAGAAATAATCGCCACATCATCTCGAGGAGTATCGTTATCATCTCTACCATATGTATCTAAATCATCATCACCAAAGCTCCCATCATCTTCCACATGCGTGTCGTCATGAAGTACAATATCCGTATCTTCATTATGCAAGTTTTCACCATCGTCATGAGATTCAGTATTCTGATTGCGATCACTGTTGCTCCGATTGGTAGTAACAGTAACAGAAATGGAAGCATTCGGTCGACGACGACGTGGACTAGACAAACCAGAAGGTCGAGTACGGTTTTCGTGTCTGCGACTTCTACTAAGAACAAAAGCAACCTCCTCATCTTCACCGCTAACATCAACATCACCGTCATCACCTTCAACATCTGGATCATTTTCACCGTCTTCATCGTCCTGGTCATCATCATCTTCGTCATCATCATCATACTCCTCCTCCTCTTCGTCCTCATCTTCTACAAGGACATCGTCTTCTTCCTCTTCTTCTTGACTATTATTACCTTCAGCACCCTGACCGGAACTTCCTTCATCTTCATCATCATAAACAAATATCACAGATCTAGTTTCTTGATCTCCGTTGCCTACACTACGCCAAGGCTGATGGACGTTTTCATTATGATCAGAACTGATGACCATATCAGCCTGGACAGCCAAAACATCATTTAGAACGCGATTAAGACTTGAAGAAGCGCTACCTTGTGCAGTGCTAGATAGAATCAAACTAGGTCTATCAAAAGCGGAATCTACATTTTGCACAGGGTGTGAAAACTCCTGTTGGTCAGACATTGTAACATCATCGTCATCATCATCATCGGAATCAGTCTCAAAATCTCTAGAAGTATTGATAGTATGATCCGAGCCAGGAATGGTGGAAGATATGTTAGTCGTACCTCTGTCAAGGGAGACATCGGTTCTTTGTTCAGATGATGGTATGGTATGAAGCATTGGGTCCTGTGAGGTTGAATCGGTAATAGTTGAAGATGTTTGTATAGTACTAGTGAGTCTCATTTCTACATCACCTGACTCCTCATTCGAAACTGAAGCAGCATTAACTTGTCGTCCCGTAGAGTTATTCGCAAGTCGTTTTCCTTGAGAATTAAACTTAGTGTATTGACGATCTACTAGAGTTAAACTTTCTAGAGCGTGCAACATAATATTAATTGTGAACTGTGTGTTAGGTAAATTGCAGTCAACAATAGCAATTAATCTAGCAATATCCGCTGGTATTCTTCGTTTATATAACAAACGTAAAACGCGATTAATTAGAGGAGAAGGCAATGACAGTATACGCATTAAAAACATCATATGAGATGCGATTCGATCATTTTTCATTGGGGAGGTAATTTCAGACTTAATATCTTCTATTGAAATAGGGTAATGTTTAGTGGCAACGCGACCAAGTGATGCTTTAAATTCATTTATAATTACTCCTTGAATGGATTCACTACTGATGAGTATTAAGTTTTTCAACAATGACATAGTAGATTCAGCTGTTTCAGAGTTATTTAACTGATGACTAAATAAATAGGAGATAAAAGAACACTTTGATACATCGGCGTTTGATCTCCCAGATGTATGCTCCACGGAATGTTTGTGTTTATACATTGCGACAAACTCAGCGACAGATTTGTAAGTACCAACTAAGTCAATTAAGTATTGCATCGCATCTGATTTGCCTAAAACTACAAATCCATTTTGTTTATTAAATTCACTATGTGTTGAACGAGTTGTAGAGTTTTCCAGTGATGACTGATCAGGACGAGTACATGTATTAGCAGACTGTGCAGTTGTGGCACCACCCCTCGAAATAACAGTTCTTGTATTAGATATTGGAGGATGAGCAGATTCTGAGGTAAAACCGTCATTTCCGGGTGCTTCCGTTACCTGTAAAGGAAAAAAGACAATTAGATATACAATGTTTGCTACTGTGCAATAATTATATACGTCAGCTATTGGGTAGTGGGTAATCGAAAATTGAAATTTCATCTAGTAAATTAAAAGTAACAGAAAACGTATGAAGAAAATCGTTCATCACCATTGAAATAAGACGGCCAACAAATCGCCAGACAATTTATGGTGTAGAAATGAAAATATTTCGTCTTACATAGTGAACCTATTCTTATGTTCACACTGTTTATAGTTTTTATTGGAGACAATACTCATAAGAAAGTATTATATATATATATATATATATATATATATATATATATATATATATATATATATATATATATATATATATAACGGTTACAAAATCATTCATAACTGCTGCAAGTGATAGACGCTTCAGCTAAGTAATAAATCAAAGCTTTATATCGTATGGTGAAGAACGTGACCATTAATTTAGCTAGACAATAAATATAAAGAAGAGGAAGACTGATCCAATCATTTCATCCATTATTTACAAGTGGCATATATAAAAGTACTATCTTTGGCAATTTAGTTGGGATGGTTTTTAATTACTGGCATTATTTATGTGCGTGTGTGTGCATGTACAAGGACGATACTGCGACTAAAAAACTTTAATGAGGCAAAAGGCTACATTCACACCATTAAAATATTGGTGTTTGCATTAGTTAGGAGATATAGAAGAATTCTAATTATCTAGGTATAAAAATATATTATTTCTGCTCGACGAACTCACTTCTGTATACTGAAGACGAGTGAAAGTGTGATTTCCTTTAGATTTCCAAGTTGAACACATAATTAAATCCATTAGCTGGGTGAGTAAATGCTTCTGATGTGGACTAAGCGGGAAGGATATTACAGAAGATCGGTCAGTAACAGCAGCACCAGGAGGATTAGATTCTTCAACGATATACGTCTTTGGATAAACTTTACCTGAAAATAGGTGGTAAGATTTTTAATTAACAATAGTGACAGTCGAAACGAAAAAAAGACTAACAAAATTGAGACTGATATGAAAGTTTCAAGTTAGATGCATATGAGTAAATGATATGGAATCGCAGTACAATTAACTTATGTACACGGAATTGAAAAATATATTGTGGAAAAATCATCACCCTGAGAAAACGTAGATCCTGAATCACTTACAACAATGAAATAAGTATACTGAATATTGAGTCAGGTGACTCTATGATGAGAAACAGAATTCTTAGGATCAGAGAAAGCCTGACATTTTATAAGTAATATGTCAACTGGGGAAAAACTTGTATATATGCACAAATTCATTATGTCTATGCAAACAATCATGTACAATGTACTAAAATTATTCAACAACTAGGTCAGAATCTTTCGTCATAGTTAAACAAATTTAATACGTAGCCAATTTCAACTTCATTTGTACGAAAGTTCGGGGAGAACCGAAATAAAAGCGATAAATTCCTTTTTCTAGTTTAAATGTATACAATGAGAGAAGATAGTAATATTTAATTTAAAAATAAAAATTTCATTACAAGAACAAAGTGATATTGTAAACTAAAAAGTATTTACAGATATATAGTTACCTTCTATATCGCTATCGGGCAAAGATAAACTGAATGTTTCTATTGCTAATCTAAGAGCACGTTCACGATCTTTAGCAAGCAAAGGTGCACATAAGCTCAATAAATAGAACAAATCTCGACAAGTTCTAGGGCCAGCATCGATTCCCATGAACACATTAGGCATACCAGATCTGGACATTCGGGTGCAAATTTCCTTCATTATCCGATCAATTGTCGAAGTATCGTCAAAAATCTAGAGATGAAAATAAAACGATTTTAACTATATATCTATAGCAAATTCATAGGTATCTAATGCTGGCTCTCACAGGGATTGAGGGTGTAACTTTTGTAGTTTAGCAGTATTTGATCATAGGTAACTTTAAAGTACTGTTTGCGTATGCTAGGACTATTGATTGAAGAATGTTGAGTTTAGAAAGGAAAAGCTGGTAAATCGGCCGGTGAGGTAGCGAATCCTTATAGAATGAAGCAGTTGAAACGTGTACTATGCATGGCAAACTATCGATTACCTTGATAAAAGTGCGAGTAGGTTCCGAAGAAGCTTAGGACGGTCAAATAAAACAGTGGCATCACTTCATCAAGTCATTGACAATTAATTTGAGCGATCTTGGTAGATGTAGACCATCTGGCTAGGAACTGGGGGATAACCGTAATCATTGGTTGGAGAGATTGATTGACATGAGTTAAATTTCGTTACAATGGTGCAGATGTGCTCATGCGTTGTCTTTCCTAAGGTTTTAAGTTTAAAATTATCTTAAACTATTCTATTCCGTGAATTTATTCCTCTAGAATCGCACTGTTTATGCTTAGTCTTCTGTACTAGCATTGATGACATTATAGCTACTACTTTGGTACTCATTTTGATACTCTAATTTCTCTATGCTAATTTAGTGTGATAGCTTAGGTAGATGAATATATATATATATATATACCACGTTCTAGGTCGCTCATGCATGACTGGTGCTTAAACTCGATATTGGGACATTATTAGGTGAGAGGATACACATCGTAAAATCGCATTCAGGATGAGATCAATAATAAAATGAATTCATTTGAGCGGACAGTAGTAAGCTAACGAGAAAAGAATCCATTAAATTGCAACAAAGTTTTAATAGAAACTCACTTCGGAAATTAAAGCACCAACGAAAGATGAAAATTCCGGAGAAAACTCCGGCGCATGTGGATACGAGAATAGAGTTGTCAAGAGATCCGCTTCAGCTAACTTATCTGCATCTTCATAACTTGTAAAGCATAAACGAAGCATCAATCTGAACATAGCGTTTAAACAGTCAGATGGTAGAGGCAACTGATCATCAGAATGTTGATTTTCCGACATGGATAATGTTGAATGTGATTGTTGTTCTGATGATAAATTTTTGAAAGCACGAAAATGTGTCAATAATGCATGACATAGTTTTGAACGTTCTTCTGCATTTAAACATTCTGGTATCTTTGTATTCATTAGACTCAATTCATACGGTGTCGCTATGAAAAAAATGATATAGCCATTTAAAAAGTTCAAACTATAATTATGGTGTGTTTAGAGAAAGTTAAAGTCTGTCGATAAAAAAAACAAGACACGAGTACTTCAAAAAGACTTAATAGTAATAGGCAATCATTTGCACAGGATGATATACTTATACCATAAAAAGACTCTTTGTATCAATAACAGGAAGATTTAAACAACATTTACGAATGCATTAAGAAAGTAGTAATTTGGAAAGACTGAAAACAATTTCAATGTACATGCAACATTATATGAAAGAACTATTATCTATCGGCGCCCGACAATGATAGTTTTTCTTGACTGAAGAGCAGCATTTGATTTTGTAGACCGAGAGGTTCTGTGGCAGTGTCTGTCATTGAAAGGTGTACCACAGAAGTACATAAACCTTGTGAAGGCTCTTTACTTGAACACTACCAGTCGAGTTAAGGTCTATGGAGAACTGTCATGTGATTTTGTAAACTCATATGGTGTCCAGCAAGGCCGTCTACTATCTCCATTTCTGTTTAATCTCATCATAGACCTACTGCTAGAAATAACGTTCTCATCGACTGAATTACCGGGGATTGATCTACCAGGAGGTTCATTTATCCACTCAGATGACATAATCCTGTTTGGTGAAGACGCTGACAAAATGCAGTCTTTTGGTAGCACTGAGTAACAATGCCAGTATGTTTGGGATGCGTTTCTTTTCCTCTAAATGCAATTCGTTGCTTCAAGACTGACCTGCGTCAACACCTGAACTAAGGATCGGGAGTGAATTAGTCGAACAAGTCGACAACTTCACTTATCTTAGAAGTCTGAACAGACCTAATGGGTTGGTGTCTGACGAAATCTCTGCAAAGATTCAGGAAGCTCGTTTGGCTTTTGCCAACTTACGCGACCTATAGCAAAGGCCAGATATCCGTCTATCAATTAAGATATGAGTATGCTGCGCAGTAGTTCGTTCCGTTCTAATTAATGGTTGCGAGACGTGGCCATTAAGAGTGGATGATACTCGTAAGTTCCTAGTATTCGAACACAAATGTCTTAGAAATATTGCTCGCATCTGCTGGGATCACCGGGTAAGTAGTAGTGAGGTTGGATACAGGGTATCAGGGAATGATGGTAAGTCAGTTGATGAGGTTGTAAGTTTTCACTGACTGAGATGGTTGAGCCACGTGTTACGTATGTCTGAGCACCGATTACCACGAGGCTCAGTGCTAACTAGTGTTGGGGATGATTGGAAGAAAGTTAGGGGCGGCCAAATCAAAACGTGGCATCAGTCATTGAAGTCACTAACTTCTAGTTTGAGCCATGTTGGTAGATGCAGACTACTTGGTTGGGGTCTGCACGACTGTCGTGACCAATAGTTAGAGACTCTGGGTGACATGGCTCAGAATCGATCACAATGGCGTAGGTGTATAAACCCTTTGTCTTCCCTCAAACCGTGAGATTAAAATTGCTTTGTACCTTTCATTCTACGAACTAATTCTTTCTTCCTGTATTATATCCTCATGCGCAATCTTTCTTCTATATATTAACTACCATTGAAGTAACTAATTCTATGGATTTGGTGTTCATCATGTTGTGCTAATGAGGTGCGGCAACTTGGACCGATGCATATATGTACCTGGCCCTACGTTGTAGCTAATTACCTAACACAAAGGACAACTGCGTACTAGATTGTACGTTAGATATTGAACAAACAATAACCCCCAAACTAATAAACTACATCTCTGCTACTCTCAGTCTTGTTTTATATTAGGCAATGTCAGAAAAACCGACAAGTATCCTAAGATAATTGATGAATGCAATTTATGATCTACAAATGGTACGTAAATTTTATCACAATAAAAATAAGCAATCAGTAAGAATAACTGTAGCGCACGATTTCTATCACTTACTTTGTATTGACGACGCTTCATCTGTTTCTATATTCTCAGAAATGGATGGGAAAAGCATAACAGGACGTCTATGCATACTGACAAGATTTATTTGTGTCATAGTTGGAAATTCAACAGTATATGGTCGACGATTAATATCACAAAATGCGCATAAATCACCTTTATGAAAACTTTTATCAATAATTCGTATACTTTCATTTGTATAAGGATGCCAAAGCATTGCTTGATTATCAAACCAATGCCAATTATGAGAGGAAGCATACAGCTTGACACATTCTTGACGTAAACATAGAGCCTAAAACAAAAGAATTTGAGGAAACGTGTAATTGTTATTTTATAACAGCAGTTGTATGTATAAGTTTCCACGCCCCTTGTATAAACATTTTAAACCACAAAAATAAAATGAGAGATGAGTGAAAAGCTAATCTCCATTCTTGACTGACCATTTTCTCTGAACATCATGCATAACTAGATAATTACAAGAATATTGACTTCGATAGCGGGAATGTAACTAATGAACAAACCAATCAGATTTAACATAGAGTCTTGGATTATAGTCCGAAATTCATTTATTCATATAACGAAATAGCATTGCAGCTTATTTCAGTTCATGATGAAAACCCTAACTCTAAACCTCAATTCCAATCACTTGCGCTAATTTACAACCATTTTTAAAACCTGGTAGATTGATGAATTTTCTCAAGGTCACTTTGGCGTTATTCGAAGGCGTCCATAAATTATTGTCTCACAAACAAATATGCTAAATGACGGTATTGTATGTTAACAATAATATTCAATAATGTATAATACAATAAATCCGACCTTATAAAGCTGTTGGAAAAATCTTCAGAAGCTAAGACAAGGTTGGAAACACTTAGCCCGATTAGGAAACTCTCAGAAAATTGATGTATAATGTGTCACACCCTGATTGGATAACTACCTATTTCGTCACTAAAGTTAACCTATTTTAAAAAGCTTGTACAAAAGTGAGGTCACCTGTGAGCCTACAAATACCGTTTCTTTCGCACAATTCACCTAGCATTGGAAGTAAAGCCTCCTTTAATTATATCCCCACCTCTCTTCCGTCAAAGACTCAAGCTTACGAGTGATCTGGAAGATGAAAAAGCTATTACGAAGTCAATATCCAGTATTCAATCATCAGACGTAACAGAAGCTTACTATGAAAGAATGAATGAAACTTTGTGATGCGAATTTATGCGTATATATATATATATATATATATATATATATATATAACTTGGAATGTTAACAATAATAGATATTTTAACATGAAAGCTAATATCGTTTTTTAAAAAAACATACTTGTATACTTCTTTCATACTGATCTAACACAAGAAAAGCTAAAGTCAGTGTTTTGTAGTAATCTGATTTTGAAATAGCATTTGGATTGTAAGATACATCTGTACTGAATTCGTCCACTTCCATTCGAGTGTCTTCACGGACAGTAACACCACCACTACTACTATTAGTGGTAGTAGTAGTAGTAACTGATTTATTTAGAATATCTGAATCGGATACAAATTGAATCAATACACTTGGAAGTTTATGACTCCAAGCTAAACAAGCGCAAACTAATGGGGATCTAGTGAATAAGAGAGCAATTAAATGTAATCCGACAGTCTGATGTTCTTTCTCATAATTTGTGAACTCATAATTTTCATTGTCAGATTTATTAAGAGTTTTATTAAGTGAAACACTAAAATACGACTTTAGATGCGCTGTAACTACACCAAATAACTCATTGATGTATTGTTCATGTTCTCCGCTGGATATAAATAGTTCAGCAATTTGATGGAGAATCTATGAAAGATAGGGAAAAAACGTAAAATATTAAAACTGGTAAATAATAAACACAAACCTACTATCTTAATAATAATTATGCGTTCACCAGATCCTGTTTGCCAGGAGTATTCTCAAATTCCTTGTTAAGAGTTCTGACAGATGAAATTTAGTCATATCAGGATTAAGGTTAGTAACTTATAGGACTGGTTTTACAAAACTGTGGAAAGACTACGGTTGAATTTGTGAACTATTATATGGCAACGCATTGGTCTGAAGCTTTAACATTTGCTGAGAGGTTTGAAGATGATTCTAAGCTTGATTTCACCCTAAAAGTAATGAGTAGACAATACTGAGGATCCCAAAAATAAGACATGATTGTATAATCCTTACTAGTTTGTAATGATTCTCTACAGTTGAATTAAATCTGTGGTCAGAAGGCATCTTCAAAGTTAGGGAACAACCAAAACCATTATATCGACAAAAAATACGAAACAATTCGGACAGAGCTATTAATGTGTAGTATAGAATTTCGCCTTTTACTCATTAAACCATCGAATGAAAACTTACTCAGTATTATTGACCATTAAATAATCAGTTTGTATCATAACTCAGTAGAACATACACTTGAGTACTTACTAAGCTACCCATTTATTTGTTTGAATTTAGCGTTAAGAAAACTCGCGTATGATAGACCCTCACAGGAATGCCGGTGTGATAGTTCAAATATGAATACACCTAAGGTTTGAGTATTAAGCTAGTCGTTTGTTGATAACGATATAAATATGATGTGACAGAAATTGTCTCTATTAAGTCAGAAATTCAAGGGACTAGTTGTATACGTAAAAACATCAATAATGAAAACTGTATAGTTCGAAAGTGAATGAAAGAAGACCAGAATATTTTAAATAAGCATACATTAAATTCATTCTTTAAGAAAAGAAAAAAATCAATGAAATTTCCTGTGACTACCTAACCCCAAAAAGCAATGACAATAGAGCGGTACCTCTAAACACACTGATACAGATGAGAGTCCATTCTCCCTTTCGAAATGCTCTCATATGGCCACACGTATGTAGCCACTGCCAGGGAAATCCTACTCATTGCCTTCTTGCAGCACAGGTGTTATTTACGAGATTGAAGAGATGTAAAGCGAATATATAGCGCTTAAACGGGGTTGGTGGGTACAGAGCATCTATTTAGGAGTTTATTTATTTAAACACATAAATATCGGTACAAGGAAGCACTAGATAAATATGCACCACACAAATCTCATTTGATTTGTGTGAGGGCTGTGATACTGCCCAGGTGCCCAGACTGAAGCAGGTGGTTTTCTTAGGGGGCCACACCCCGAGCCTTTGACCTGAATGTCTGATCCACAAGGCAGTGGAGCATCGTGAAGAGATGCAGTCCCATGGTAGCCGGTGACCAACAATAGGTTCATACACCATTCGTTACATCAGGATACTGGAGCCCATGTGCACCACTGGTTTGGAATCAGGGTTTTCCAACTCCCCTAGGTGAACTTTCCATGTCCACCAACCCGGTTAAAGCGCCGGACATTCGCTTTTCGTCCTCTCAATTTCGTAAACAACACCCCCGCCACGAGAAGGCAGTGAGTAGGACTTCCCTGGCAGAGGCTATATATTCGCGTGGCCATGTGAGAGCATTTCGAGAGGGAGAGCGGACTCTCCCCACTCTCGGTTGTACCAGGGCATTTGGGGGCTGAAATAGGAACAATAACGGGGCGGTCTTGCATGCATAAAGCAAACAATTCTCTTTGAATCTAGCACACAACAATACTGGCATGCACTGTCCCATCGCCCTTGGCAGAACAGGCAACCCGAAAGCCACGAGAACACCATCAGGGCATACGACAGGCTAGGAGTTGGAAAACCGTGATTCCGAATCAACGGTGTGCATGGGTTCCAGAATCTTGAGAGAACAAATGGTGTATGAACCTATTCTCGGCGACTAGCTATCATGGGATCGCATTTCCTGACACTACTGCACTGCCTCACAGATTAGATGTTTGATTCAAAGGGTCAGAGAGTGAGTCCTAAAGTAAACCACATGCTTTAGTATGGGCACCCAGGAAGTAATACAACCTATGCAAGAATTTAATGATTTATGTGGTGCGAATATATTTTGGTGCCCCTTTTTATAAATGTTTATGTGTTGAAATAAGCAAATAAATAATCTTCAGTTAGTAAAATGTTAGTTGGTTTCACAAAATGATGCTAAATAAACACAGTTAGCACTATCAGCATCCCAAGATCGAGTCAATATTAATGAGCGGGAAAAAATAAATTAGTCTGAATATTATGTAATATAATATCACATAATGTGGAGGATTGGTTAAAATTATAAATTAATGTTAACCTGATAGGACTGATGACGTTTGGCAATAGCATAACACGTCTTGAAGACATTTTGTTTAAGAGATGCACATGCTTCATTATGAGTTTTCTCATTACATAATTCCATCATAACGAGTGGAAATTTAGATACATTGGTTCGTTTTATAGTTGGAGTGTCCTTATTGCCCAACGACAAGGTGATCTCGTTATCAGACGAAGTGGGACATTCTGGATTGATTTGTGATTCTATTTGTTCAGTAGTACTAAACTGGAAAAAAAGCGTACAGAAGGAATAAAACTCAGTTTAAGCTGGAAAAAAATGAGTTTAACTTTATTTAAAAAGCAAAGGGGAATAGTCGTACGAATAGGAACTACAGACTAGAATTAAGATCCACCATACATAATAACACTGGATGTAACCTAGGAAATAATGTTCTGTTTGATCCTCTTTTATCATCTTGAGATGATTTGGTAGAGTGAACGTAATCATTTAAGGATCTACATAGGATTGTAAACTTTATGCACGCTGGTTTTTTCATGTATACAGTCGATAAGACACGAGCTATGTAGTCCTACCATAAATACAAGACTTAGAGACCGGGTACAACAGGAAACAAGATACATATGCAGATCTAGATGACGATAACATATGGAAATTACAATTAAAAATTTAGATCATTTGTATAATATTACATCATTTAAGAATAAGTATGCCAACATTCGCAAATTGATCAGTACATTTACAATAAGCAAAAATTTAACTCTATCGAGTTTAAGAGACAAAAATAAAAATTGCACTTTGTTTATTAACTTTATAATATTGAGAAATTTTCTGAAAAATATATTTAATGTAAAGATTATTCCAATCATGAATTAAAGTAATAAAAATTCTTACATTATCAATAAATTCTGTTACATGTTCATAAACATCAGTTTGGAATTGTGAATTATCCACATTAGTTATTAATGGACTAGATTCATTAGCTACATTACCAGCTCCAAGTGTACGTCTACGTTGAGCTCTACGTGATGTTCTACCTCTTCGTAATCCAGAAATAAAGGAAGGATTGGCATTTTGTAAGAGATCATGAGGAGAAGTTGCTATTACAAGATTTACAGCTTCATTGGCATTCCATCCAGTTTGCTTTGGGAAGGAAAGAAAAATATATTTATTTAGAAAATACTAGATAATTATACTATTATTTATATATTAAACACATATACTGGTACGACTGGGCACCAAAATAAGTATACAACTGACGGTGACCACGCATTTATAACTACTGCGGCTGAAGTCCTACTCACTGCCTTTTCAATATAGGGACGTTTTTATGAATGTGGGCAGATGAAAAGTGAACATGTGGAGCTTGAACTGGGATAATTTGAAAATCCAAACCAATAGTGTGCATGAACTCCGACCCTTGATGGTACGAATGACGTATGAACTTACTCAGGTCACTGGCTATCATCGGACTGAATCTCCTGACGTTGGTCCACCACTTTGTACATTAGACCTTCAAGTCAAAGACTAGAAAATTACGTGCTTCAATTCGGGTGCTCGAGTAGCATTCCCAGCACACACAAATATAATCTTCGATAATAATGAAGAGAATGATATACTTGCTCAGGGAGATAGACTGAACATAAATCAGTAGGAAGAATAAATTAAACACGAAAAAATGTTATTTTCTATTTTGTTAACAATGTATTAACGTATCGTTACATACCTCTAAAGCGACAATAGCTAAATCACGAGCGAAACCCATTTCTTCCATCAGTCGAAGGGCTTCTTGATCACGTATAACGTTATCGGGCGGGACAGTATCAACATCAAAATATATATTGAATGGTGCATTATCAATTGCATTTGATTGACTCATTGTTTGATCAACCAAAAGTGGTGTAGCAGATGGATCTTGAGTAACTGCAGTAGATAAAGTCTGTGAAAACAGAAATTTTTTTCTATAGCAAATAGTTTGATTTCCCAAAATGACTGAAAAATAATTAATGGCTCTACATTGTAAAACCTAAGAGGATCATAGTTACCACTGAGTATTTAAACGTAGTTTTAGGGTAGGAAAATTAATACGAGCAAACGATAATTTTCATGAAGTATAACAATATTAATGGTTAGTTTTATTAAAACAGAACCTTTACTGAAAGAACAAAACATATTTCAGTTTACCTTTAACATATTTGTACAGAAAAATGCACACAATTTGACCACAAATAGATGAAAGACAATAATTAATTGAATGGGAAAGATGATAGAAATAAGTCAAAAGAGAGGGCCGAACTGAAGAACATGACAGCAACTGAAAGTCAGTATGACGAATATTAGAAGACAAATATCTAGTAGGTTTGAAATAGTGAGTGATCTCTTCAGTCAGTCAATCTGCGAACGTGGATCTACCGAGTTTTTGATATGTATCCACATCAATTGTGATATTTTCACAACAATATGATTTACAATGAGTTAGACGTCCGTCATCAATACTTAAATAATAGTACTGAAAGCAATTATCACAAGTGATTACACAAACTTTTATTTAATAAGATAGTAGAATTCTCTGTAAATGGATAAATAAATATACATCGTGTATGCTATTAATGTTGACAGATATAAGTAGTATATAATACCAATCAAAAGTAGAATGCCTAGAAACAGAAGATTAAGAAGATCGAGTTTAAGACAACGGGAACGTAAAAAAAAGTAATTGTAATTGTAATAATAATAATAATAATAATAATAATAATAATAATAATAGGAATGAAGGGACGATGAAGTTTGTGTAAGACAACTGATGAAAGATGTGCAGATGATGTATTTAATTCATTGTTTTCATATTTTACGAAGACACTGATTTAGCAATAAACAATTGTTTATCCCCACCAAGTCTTCGTTCACTACACATATACATAGACTAGATGACTGATTGATGAGATCGGAATATATTATCTTTTTCAATTAAGATTAAAGGGTTCAAACGTTTAAATAAGGAATGTCAGCAATGCTACATAAGTAAAATTCGAAGGATGGGTGTTGTTTGCGCTCTGATAGTGATATGCAACGTGTCACAAGCTAACCCGTCAAATTGACTACTTGAGTGAGAAAACAAGAGTGGAAGAGAAAGTCTATTGGGCTACCGAATAACATGCATAAATATTCATTTACATGAATATATTTCTAACCCCTAAAAAACCAATCCATTTCCTAGCCAATGATATGCAATTGTCCTTCAGGGCACTGAAGATTGTCATCAGGTAACCTCATTTGGCTCCAATACCTATAATATTAAAGTCGAGATTACTGTATACTGGAACGTATGAATAAATCAAAAATCGTTGAAATAATCAAAGATACACGTTACCTGTGAAGAAATATCTGTTCCTTCCAACGGTGATTCAGTAGATGCAATCTGTGGTTCAGATAATCTATTGGAACTGCTGATAAATATATTTGGAGCTTCTTGCGGCATGGAAGGTTGATGATGTGTACTAGGGTTTATTTCGATAAGATTGTCAGTAGATGGTAGATTATTTGGACGTTCGTCTAGAGTCTTATCCCACTATTTAATACAAAGAAATACAAATGAATCTACAAACAATTCTTCAGGTGAAATAGAAATTAACAAAAAGGTGTAATACTGAAGAGTGATGAGAGGTCTCAGTCTTCAACAAGTTAGATCATAAAACAAATATGTATGTTATGAAGTAGATTACTCTTATTGGAGAATATACTTGATAAAAATATTTTCAGAGCATTCTATTATACACTTTCATAATACGTAAACTGTGCAAATGTTTATCGTGAAAAAAAATATTTGGAAAATGGGATGAGAAATTACGGGAATTTGAACAATTTTAACTGAAGTGAAGTGAATGACAAACAATTCAATCACCTTGTACACTTGTCATTTTTGGCAAGAACTTGTACATAATTACTTCTAGAGTTGCATAATGATAAAACTGACCTCATTAAATTTGTGGGACTTTAGAGAACGATTGTTATTCTATATCAAATTTCAAAAATTGCTGAAATGTATGTAGATATTTATGCGTGATGATTCGACTAGCAATGAGAATTTTTTACTAAATGTTGAAATGAATCAAAACACAAGGCAACACACAAGAAATCTAGCTCACGTACTATATTTAAAAGCTCAAGGTATAGAAACGTTACTCGATAGTCGGAATAAATGTAAGTGAAATATCATTAAAATATGTAGCCTATTAGTTAAAAGACATATCCTGGAACCACTGAATCCTAAAATCTAGGATTAACGAAACTGTAAAAGCATCACAGATATTAAATTCATTTAATATTGTTTGTTTGAATCTTCCCATCGATGTGTTAGGATTGCAACTGGCCAGTCTCTAATTGGCATATGTGCATACTGTACGTATTGTCTCCATATAGCCTTAATTCACAAGCATTGTAAACAAAGATGGATAGTGGCTTACAATCACAGATATTATTTGTCAGTAGCTTCGACAAAGTGTGTTTATAAAATTTTATCGAATGAGATAATACTAATAGGTTTATAAAATCTGATTGTGAGAACTTATTATTCTTAGATTATATTTCAAAAACCAAATCTGCGATTCAGCCGATGATTTCATAAAATGAACGATAAATGTATTGGATTAGCATTCATTATTTTACGAAAACCAGTCTGGTAGAAGTCTTAAAGGCAATTATACATAAATATCTTCATGTTACAAGTATATTAGTGCATTTTATACACGATAGGTCTTGATATTTACTAGGTTTCAGAATGGAAAGTAAATGGCAGTAGGTTAAGGATGGTTTAGTGTTGTTATTTTTATATTTAACCAATGTATTAAACTATATTATATCCCACCCTTTTTCGAAATTATACTGTAGTGAAACTTTTAAATAAAATGTCATTGAAGAACAAGTGTACATGACTAAGCACAATTTTTGATACTTTAACAAATATATATATAACACAATAAGTAATTCATATGAATGAAAGACTAAGAAAAATTGATAGGAATATGCACACTTACACCTGATGAATGAATAGCATTGGCGGACTCCTCAGACTTGATTAAACGTTGTTTATTGTCAGAATTGAAGATGTATGGCACAATGGTGACCAGCATACTGAGTAAATGTTCAACAGCTTTACGACTGAGCAAATCCTAAAAACAACAGAATTATAGTTTAAGTGAACGATAAGATAAACAATTGGAAGCTAGGTATCAATGAATTTGGATCTGAGGGCATAACTAAAATAAACACTTATACGGTAGAAAATAAGTTCTATATTCCTTATGACAAAGTGATACCACAAATTATGTAATGAAGAAATAATACACGAAAAAGCAGAATGAAAAGCTAACTGAATGATGACATCAACTGAATGAAACTAAAAATACTCAATAACTACAACGTTACAAACTTCAGTACTAATCAGTATCATAGCTGTCTAATGGTCAGAGCTAATCGAAATTAATTGGTCAGGTTGCAATACGATTACTAGTTTAAGTAACTACTGTGTAATCGAGGTGTTTACTTTGTTTACTGACAAATATCTCGAAAAATAGATGGGTATAGTTGTTTTGGATCATATTCTTGTATGAGAGCTAGTGATACTACAAAACTGGTCATACGTAGGTCAACAAAACAGGTTTGGAAAATTTAGTCCAGTAATTAATATTCAAACAAATTACCTATTAGGCATTTCAGCATTCATTTGTTGAGTGGTAGGTTGCACAGTTCTAATCTGTTTATGGGAAACATAGGCTTCAAGATAGAGGACACTCGTTTGTTACTACTATTTAGTTATAAAGGCCCTCAAAGTGCCCCTTATGCATATTGGGACTGTCGAGCGAGAAATACTTGGGTTAGATATAAAATATTGAGCAAACATGGAAAATCTTTTAGTGAGGTAGTCAGTCCATCGAACATGAGATGGTTGGAACGTACATTACTGATAACTGACCACCTTTTACCTCGACAGGCAAACGCTGACAGGAGTATGAGAATAGGTTGTACGAAAGCTACAGGTGAGAAAACACAGACATGGGATCAGTCCGTTAAGACAGTGACTGTTTGGCTGAGTCATGTTAATAGATGTGGACTGTCTTGTGAGGTTCGCACAATTATCATAATTAATAGTTGAAGATACAACTCAGAATCGTTTACAACGGTGCAGGCGAATTTATTCTGTCTTTATACTCAAATTTTTCTATTCCACTATGCCATCTTTTCTCCTCGAAATATATTGTTGCCCAAGTGCCCAAACTGAAGCAGTTGGTTTTCTTAAGGGGCCACACCCGAAGCATTTCGAGAGGGAGGGAGGGCGGGCTCTCCTCACTCTCGGCCGTACCAGGGCATTTGGGGGAAACGCAGCTTAGAATGGAAGCTGATTATTGTTTATTTTAAAATAAGTTCATTCTGTGATTAAAAAAAACAGATTGTTTTATTGGGTTTACATTCTAAATAATAAAAACAATTACATGAATACGACACTACCTGCAAATCTGTTCGAGAACATAATTGTGCCAGTGCAGGTATCATACATTGATGAACACGTGCAGTTATCTTCTTTACATTCATTGCATTTGCTTCAGTGTCAGTTGTTCGATTAGTATCTGAATTAGATGGAGCACAAAAACTTGCATTGCTCATACGATCTGCACATACAAGCCACTCTTCTAATACAATTGATAGTGGTTCTAAAATTTAATAGAACACATGATAAAAATTATTGTTGAGCATGAAACACAGAAACAGATGATGTAGTGCATAAATTTGTTCTTATATATAAAGTATAAATAATGTGTTAATCCTCATCACTGATATAATCTTATCAATTGGTAAAAGTAATACAGGCACTAAATTGGTTGATAATGTAATTTAACAGAGCATGTTATTTATTGATCAACTCATTAACAATTGACTTCTAATTACTGTATGCACGATTATGAAACACTTAAATACCATAAACTGCCCCTTTCTATACAGTATCCTACTTTCAGAGTTAGATTCACCAATATTCTTACCATACATCATTGTTATTCAACTAATTTGCCAGATACAGATTAGTGTACTTGGTTTTGAACTACAATATGAGCGTGTAAAAGCTAGTAATACTACGCGGTTTTTCAAACCGAAGTAGCTAAAGATAGGTTAGAAAGAGAGGACAGGTGGCTGAAAGTTGAATGCTTTAACCACTGAGTTATTGCTTCAACAAGTTAATGCGGTAGGTGGTAAACACTTTATTGGTTGCTCAATTGCATCTTTGAACTTATGTAAATCATTTGAAATATACGTAGAAAAATGCTACTTCGATATTTGGAATAAATGTAACAAAGCTATACCGAATGTAAAACTAAGATCAAAGAATAGAAAATTCTTTTTGATTTGTGTTCGAAACTTAATTAAACATGAATAAATGAACAAGGCAAAAATACGTGGTGAAATAATTAATATTTTAATGAAATTTTTATTCTGTTTTTTTTATACAAAACTCAACGTACTTCGTATAGCTGGATCATCTAAATCAAAACTGATCAGCTGACGAAATAACCTGTAATGTGTACACAAAAAAAGAAGTGCTTTAATTAAAGTTACAAACTAGCCTATTAAATAAAGGGCATTAAATCTTTGAAGGAAAATATGTTTTAAAATAAATGGCCAACGTTTTATTCCCTTGTAACTGATTTCTTAATTATTCAATCTCGTTTATTTTGGTTCACATGTTTTTATTACTCCTTATTTAAATTAGCGAGTCTCATTATAAGTGGAGAGTGTGTTGCACTCGAGTAAAAGGTCCTTTTTCTTGCAGACTTTTACCTCAACCATATATCAAATCGAAATTCAACATCGTGGCGATATTCTACACACTGTCTAGGAGTCGTTTGAACAGTGCAACTACAAATAAAGGAGTTTCTTAGTAATCCCATTTGTTGTAACCGCTCAACTGATCGTACATGTGCATTGGGTACTGAAATAGTCGCCGTGACGTTGAAATAGTTTACTCGCTCGTGATTGGCTCGTCTATTAATTATAGTCTCGCCGCTTTTCCGTATACAGGACAGTTGAATGATTTAAACGGTTCCATTTTTCGAAAGCACTATATTTTTATATACAAACACTTCTGAAATATATATGTTGAGATCCATTTGTTCGTTATATTCGTGTAGACTATAACCAGGCTTTGATTATAAGTCTATGATTTCGTGGGTAAACTGTTATGCCCGGATAACAATAGTGAATGGTAACTTTGGGATCCATTTATGGACCAACATTATGCATGTAATTTTTATCGTATATTTGCTAAATAATTAAACTATTCATATTCATGATCCTTTCATTGTGAGCTTTATTTTGACCAATAGACTATTATTATACGATTTACTATTCTTGAGTTATACCCAGTCCATTAATTACAGTCCCCCCTATTCACAGCCACATTTGGCCAAATCTTGTACAAATGTTATTTTCTATTTTATGTTACTATGTGGTCTGTCTGTTTGGTATATAAATCCAGTATGTCTGAGAATAATGATTCATATTGCACAGACTGTTATTGGTGTTCTGGACTAGACAGAAGCAGGACTGATACGTACTCTAGACTGCTCGTACGGTTTTCGTGTGTCACTGTTCCAATCGATAATTCGCTGCTCTCTGATTGGCAGTCATATCAAGTCATACATTAACTGGGGATCCACTCGACCACAAGATATAACATAAACATGATCACAGGTCGACACTCACAAGTTATTCGAATGTAATTAAAGCTGAGTAACTATTCAGTCAATACATCTAAAGTTCTATATACAGATCTTATTTTCCAAATGTATAATTTATAAAACATCACTGCATTACTTTGATCTTTCCGTTCACGATTTAGTCGATTTGTTGTACATGAAACAATGGGTGTTTTTCCCAATGTACATATATATGCCGATGATGAAGTAAACAATTCTATATATATATATATATATATATATATATATATATATATATATATATATATATATATATATATATATATATACAAAGAGTTTGATGTATCACCAGACATATGGAAAGCACTTTTTGGTGATATTAATGACTCTGCCTAATTCGATTATATAAGTCGAGATTTAGAGTAAATGTGAATTTACTTGAAATTGCAAATATTCCCTTTTATGACGACTGTCTGCAAGGACTAAACTTGACACTGCGATGTTTATTCATATACGCTCATTTTGATTATGGTGAGATTAACTTTTATTTAAAATAAATAAGTATATATATATACTTACCCAAAATAAAGAGTTATTCCATTTAGCCTGAAGAATGCGTTAATCATTCCTAGATCTGAATTCCTTTGAACTGAATCATGAAGTAGAAGGTTAGTTAGACGAATTGACGCATAACGAATAGCATAATTTAAAGATGCAGTTGCTTTATGATTACGATTAGTGGAAGCTGGTTCCCATGTATACGTGATGGAAAGTACATCTGCAACTTGAGCCAATGCACGTGACCTCATTTCGTTTGGAATTAAATCATTTGGAATTAATGTGGTTCGACGACGTCTATAATTAATTTGTGTTCGATTTGAGAAAAATCTTCCAAGAGCAATAAATAGTTCCGTGACAGAATTAATAAGAAATGCAGTTACATGCAGTATTCGATTCAATGGTTTGACAAGTTCTGAAATATAAATAGATAATTACCATAAAACTATTTTCTGAATATTCAAAAACGGTATTATTTCAGGTTTGTATAATGATCAAACTCGTGGAATATAAGTTAATTATTCATACACCTTTGTAGCATAATATCAAAAGGTGGTAATAATAATAATAATAATAACTAACCTGAATGTTTAGATATAAAAGATTGACCATCAGTAGTAGGCGAAATAGACTGTGTAATAAGAGAATACATGTGTAAAGCTTCTACAAATTGTGGCATTGGTTCTGATGGGATGTTCATAACTTTATTTGGAACAGTAGAATTTGAATCACATGATTTAGAAGAACTATTAAGTAAGTGTTGAGGTATTTTTAATCCATTCAACATATCAGATTCATTTATATCTTTATCGCCAAAAAGAACTTTTAAGAGGATTCCAGCTTCCCAAGAAACTCCTAAATATAGACGCCTATAGAAATAAGAAACAGAAGTACACTTAATGAGACAAATTTAGTACTCATGATTCTCAACATATATCACTGTAAAACACCATATGAGCAAATCTAAATTAACAAATAGATATAATCAATGAGTGGATATCTTTCAGTTTCTTCTATCGCTTCAAGAATGACAGATCATTTGGACTCATTATGAAATGTGATAAAGTTAAAAATGAATGATGAGGTTGACAGTATTGAGAATGTAAAGTTACTAAATACCATATGTTATGCTGCTAAGGTTGGGAATATTTTGGCCGGGCGGAGGGAACATAATATTAGTCCATAAAAAATTGACTGTCTAAAGTTCAAACCAGTTAGTTGATACTTTATAAGGTAAAATAATCAATGGTAAGAGACTTAAAGTGACATTTAAAATGGGCCATAGTTTTCCTGATGCATTTATGCTAACTTCACACTACAACGTGGGTTTTAACAAGATTTTACACATTTTATTTCGACTGCTTTGTTTTTATTTGGTTAATGGCCACTCGCTGTTCTAATATGGTAGGGGGGGGGGAATGAGTACCAAATAAAAATTGTGCCAAGTTCTAAGTTTACGGCTAAATGAGTTGATATCTGAACTAAAACTGAGTGAACAAGAGAAACTTGTATGAATACTGTAGACATAAATGTAAAGTGTTAGTCAGAAATGTTAGGTTACAGTTTAAAGTGGTGAGGACTTGTCAACTGACGAAAGTTAGGTGTTAAAAATAATAAAGAATGCTAGGGACGTTACGATTAAACCATTGAGCTCCGAGACAAAACTAAAACAAAAAAATCCAGATCAGTTGGAAAACCAGGTGCCATTTGAGAACAAATATATTCTAATTGATAAAATTTTAGATCAAACAAAGCACCGATTTCGATTAAGTTGTTTTTAAAGTTCTTTTCTACTTACCCCAATGTTTTCAAACAGTTCTGAGATAACCAACTACTAGCCAATGACAAACGAATTTCTGATTTAATATGCTCAATCATTTGTACTAAAATACAAACTACTGAAGCGATTGTCACCAATTCATGCAACACTTCTCGTTCACCAGACAAATATTCACGTAAGAGTATAGAACTCATTGGATAGTTAGAAGTGTATAGAACAGATAGTTTATCCAATGAAGATTCCAAGCACTAGATGAAAAAAATATATTTAACAACATGACGATCATAATGACAACGATATTAACCTTTTGTACATTTTTTTAGAAGTTGTAGGTAATTGTTAGCTCGAAATAAAATGCTATGTTTAAAATTAACCAGTGGGATATGCGGGGATCTATCTTTACATGTTAGTCCCAGTGAAAATATAGAAGTGTGATTATTATTGATAAGTGCATGAGAATAGTTACTCGTCTTGTTTGTCTCAACCAGTTGTCAAAATAGTGTTTATACATTGGGAATTTTTAGTAGTTACATGTATAATTTGAGTAAAATCACATATTGCTGTGAGTTGTAAGATTACCGTAAACCACGAAGTATTGGATAAATATTTCAGTTTAATTTTAGACTGTTTAGCGATGTACAAACAAGGCTTAGACGGAAATTGAACATAGAACCTTCAGATTACACGTTGGATAAAACACCAATTATACATTAAATTAGAGTCAAGTAGCCACTGTTGCTAAATTCAGTTATTTCGTAGCATAAAATGGAGACGATCATTTAATATATTTAATGAGTAACTACAGAATTGGGAAGAACGGTCACACGGGTTTAAGAAATATAAACTAATGTAACGCCATGTGTATCATACAATGAAAATAAAGTCATCACTTTTGTTTTGCACTTCAAGCAACACAAGTGACGCATTGTAATCAACTCATAGTGAAGTGGTGGCTTAGTGATTGAAATGTTCGGCTTTTAGCCACTATATGGCAGGTTTGAACCTTGCAGTTTCTATTTCTATTTAAACAACCTGTCAGTGTGATTATTAGCCAATAGATTTAGAGTGTGTCCCAAAGCCAAGTACATAAAACTCTACCTGATAGACGGATTAATAAAATGAAATAAAAATTAAAGCATACTCTATACAAAGGAGAGTTATTTAATTACATTTACATTTACCCTATTCCTATTTCAAACGACTACTAATAATAGAAACTGATCAAGCACAGTACATTTATTATGAAGTAGTTGAAAAGGGAGAATAGTAGTTGTAGAATAGAGTAAGTTCACATTATTTTCTATTTCCATGATTTACACAAACAGCTTAAAAATTTGAACAATTATTAGAATAATACAACGAAATTATTCTTTATAGATAAAATATAGATGATTCAGAAATAATATTAAAGCAGTAAATATGATATCACATATTTTTTATCCTTACAATCTTATCTACTACAATTGCAATAATCACCGTGTTCCTAAAAACTTGTGAATTAATTACATCGCATTAGTAAGAAAATGTCAAAATATCTATAGCAAATAAGTAGTATCTACGCCACTACTTAATTTTCATCTATAGCTAACTAACTATAAACGTTTACATATTTAGTTACGAGCTGGCCATACTGAACGACTGAAAGTACGGGTTAGTAGTCAGTAACTAATTATCAACAGTAATAATAATAATAATAATAATAGAGGTGCTTGAATATCTAGGCTACCTGTTCCTGTCATCTAGATATTTCAACAAATCTGTTTTTCTTTGTTTTAAAACATCATTATGTCTGTTAATCACAAAACCTATTCAGCCGCGTTTATGAAAAGTTTATGACCTTCTGTTGTACAAGTTCCAAAAAAGTACAATCAGAGACATTGTGGTGGCTGGTAATATGCATGGAAAAAAATGAATATTATTTAGATGTCAATTCCTGGACTGTTAACATCTAACTGGCGATTACTAATTGGCAAAGTGGACTGTTTTCAATTCCCATTAAGTCTAAACGTGTATCGTAAATGTGGTGCAATCATAATTCAAGAAACCTGGTTACATGATTTGCAAGACGATTGCTAAGTATCACCATAAGATTTCGATATTTATTGTCAGAATAAATCACGAAATAAGAAAAGGAAACTTATTGAAATACTGTGTGCTGAGAATTCTATATTGTACCAAAAATATGCTGCCCAATCAAGACATTAATAATGATAATAATAATAAATTATAAGATTTTGCTTTCGATTCCATTACAAATAATGTCAAGAATTATGAGCAAATATATGTTGACAAAAATAAGGAACAAATAGATAAGAGGGGGCACGATTCTGGTCTACCGTTATCAAAGAGTTGATCCAGTAGGTAGAATACTTCAGTATAAATTCAATTGAAAATTCTGGGGTAAACATACCATTTTATTTGAAAACAGTGCATAACATCACCACAAATATGCCAGCCAATTATTATTGAAGTAATTCGACATAAACAAATTAAAATTTAATACAGTCATTACATGTAAAACATGACTGTTTAATTATTAAGGATTCTAACTAACTGTTCAAATTTTTGTACATTGAAAAAAGACTGGAATACTCAAGTCATTAGTGATATAATAGTTCCGTCACCAGAGTCATGGCTCGAACCCCGCCTCACCTACTTCGCTTAGGGCAACCGTTTATTATTATTATCATCCCTCTTACTTGGAGTGTGGCTTATTGCTAAGCAACTGGTGAATAAGTTCAATCGTAGAAACGTTTCCTGTCTCAAAGAGTTACACTTAAAATATTACAATAAATGAGTAAAGACAATTACTGAAAAGCTGAGTCACATTTGTATTTTTAAAACCGCATATATCGTATGTGGGGCATAAAAATTGCAAATACAATGAATACTAAGTACAATTCATTAATTCAATTTGAGTATAGATAGATAAATGAACATGTGATTTTCTCTCACATTATACTGTACTTCATTTATTACTTCAGTTAACTATAAAAGAACATATTTTTGTTATGCGAAAAAAGAAAACAGATACTATAATCAATCATAATAATTAAACAATTGAATAAATGTAAATTGGGTTGATATAAGAAGCGTGACAATAAAACTAGAATAATTGAAAAAACATTTTAACAAAACAAAACAAAACAAGGTTTAATTATATCAGTTACAATTAATCGAATTCATAAAATTCTCATAAGTTTTTGGTAATCTAAAACACATGGGAGAGGTGACCTCAGTGATTAAGGCATTCGATAGTTAATTGTTAAACATATGTTAGAATACAGGTCTATCGACTTCGGTTTCGGTTGACCGGGGTAGTTTTATGCACAGAAATTGTGATTATAAGTTAAATTTACGAATTTGTGCCTAGTAAATGGGATGATAATAACACATGGGGTGGTAATAACAAAAGAGCTATTAAGTTATATATATATGTATACACATTACCTGGAACAAAGGTTTAGTTACATCGGTTAAATTAACTGAATTGGCTAAATCTTCGAAAATTTTACACAATGATGCACATGTAGCAGACACTGGAAAATCATACGGTAAACCAGGCATGCGAATCAAATCACATAAAGCTTGTAATCCACCTTGACTAACAAATTGTGGGCACATTGCTTCAGTAGTATGAGATCCGAATGGTAAAAGTTTTTCAAGGAATTTACACTAGAAACAAAATGATAATAAAAAGTGAAGATTGAATTACTCAGAGTAGTGGAAAATGACATGTTTTTTGTAAAACTACATATATTTAACATGAAGCGTTACGAATTCACTAGTAACGAACGGAACAAAGACACGTGACCAGAGACCGATAACTAGCTATACTGACGCGACCCAGACCCAGCTAACTAGAGTAAGAAGTCCAAGTTGGAGTGGGGAAGTTATATTCCGTGGCAGCCAGAAGCACAGTAATCAAATAAGGGAAAAAGTCAAGCGTATTTATACAGCAACGAAATGTCCTTGGGCATCGTTAATAATTAGCACACACAAAGAAACAATGGACCAATAGCGTTTAAGATAGTTACAAGTTGGAAATATGATGTGAAGGTAATAAGAGCACGTTTTGGCTCGAAAACAGCTAAATTCAAATTTCCAAAATAAAATTACAAAATTGAGCCACTTATCAAGTAAGTTCTGGGGATTTGACATCCCCAACATAACACTTACAATTGAGTATAGAAACCAATTGGGTCAACAAAATTTAGTCAGTGGGATGATAGGAAATATGAGAATTCAGGCGCGCTTACCAGTGATATTTTATGTTTGAAGCGATTACGAGTTCCCTAGTCTGAGAACGGGACAAAAACTCTGTGACTAAAACCCAATAAGCTAGCTATTCTGACGCGCCCCAGCCCCGCTAAGTAGAGTGAGAAGTCCAAGTTTGAAGTGGGGAAAATATATTCTGCAAGTAGCCAGTAGCACAAGCAATCACAACAGGTACAAATAAAACGTATATATACATCATAAAGCTGTCCTTGGAAAGCGTTACAAAATACCATACTAAAAGATACAACGAACCAATAGCGTTTAAGATCCCCCCAAGTGGGAAATACGACATGAAGGTGAAAATGAGCGCTTTTGGCTAATCTGCTTAGTCTATAGGGTTATATGGTTTGCTTTTAGATTCGATTTTTATACCAGAATAAGCCATTACAGAGAACAGTATGATATCTAATTGTGACCGGTAATACTTGTTGTATTAAGGTTTGTTTTACTCAGAGCCGTTTGTCATCAAAATAGGTAAGGAAATGTTACGACTAAATTTAATCTAGCCTTATTGTAGTTGTAGAATAACAAATGAAATTCCAGTGTGCATGTACATATAATCGTCAATCCAGACACGCCATAAGTACACTATCAGACGATCCAGAAGAATCTATACTTTAATTTTTTATTACGGTGAAATAGATCGTCATGATCTGAGAATTATTGAAATCTTGGATAAAATAACCCAACCGCGGTTACCACAAACTTTTTTTAAATGAATATGACATGTAAGTAGGTTTTCATTTATTTGTTATGACATTGATTCATATGTTTGCCTTTAGATTCCCAGTTTATCTATATAGGAATTTACCAATAAGATTACCAAGGGATTGTTTTACATTTCACAACTTGGATTTACGAAGTAAGAATTAGAATTGCGATAGTTTTCATGAGGTTTTAAATAATTTCAAATCTATCTTCAAGTAATCTCTTAAAATATATTGTAGATTGATATATAATCACCAAAAGGAAAGAATAAACTTACCATATTCAACATGAAGTCAGGCAGGAACACATTAGGAGTTACAGAGCCAGCCTCAGTACGAGCTGTATTAGCATCATTTGTAACTGACATCTTGTCACACTCAAGAGAATATTCCAAACTAGCCATGGAAATTGATGCTCCAGATACAATGGTACCAGCTTGTACAGTTTCAGAACGACTATGTGCTTGTTGGCTATCTTGATTTACATCAATGTCACTACTATAATCATCGTCATCTTCCCCTCCAGACATCACTACATCATCTTCAGTTGCACCAATAGCATTTTGGATATTACTCAAACCTAAAGGAGCACTTGTAACAGCTTGACTGATACCGCCTGAAGAACCTTGTGTCTGATGGATCGGTGATTCACCGGCAACTTCTGCAAAACTGCGTAAGCCGAAATTATTAGGATTCCTGGTAGACCTTGATAAGATATTGAAAACTGCTGGATTACATGACACACTTTCAGATGGCAATGTTGCTGGTGTTTTTCCAAGACTCACAACATGACGCAGACACTGAGAGAAAAAACAAGTGAAATTATAGTTTTTATTAACAATTCAAACTATAAAGTAGTATCACACCAAGATAGTTTTTTGTTTCGAGAGTATCAAATTGTATGTGTTAGAATAAGGGTGAAATTGTGAAGTTAAGAAATATAATGGCAATATCTAAAAATAAATTAATTAGCTAGCAATATACTACATATTAAAATTAAGAACAATTATTTTTATTGTGACTTACAGAAATAACGCATTTAAAGACAACAGGTTTTAGTTCAGTATGTGATCGAAGAAGTTCTTGTATAGCATTACTCATTTGACTCGCTGTTAAACTATTAGATAAATTTTGACCAGAATTACAATTCATATCATATGATATCTGTGATATAAACTCACGAACACGTTTAGTTTTCATTGTCGTAAGATAATCTGGTGAAACTAATGTATTCAAATAACGATTAATTACACCACTTGATAAAATAGCCTCAATACCACGGGAATTCAAAGCTAAAGTATTCAATAATGCTGGTAGCTGTACAAGAAAATCTCGATTTTGAGGTAACGGTTGTTCTGTTAAAGCTTTTAAAATATCACTTGTAATATTCTTGTCCTGCATAGGAAACAATAAACAAATTTAACAGCTCATAGATGAACGATAAACAGATTTGGAATATACTCTAACAGAAAAATATGTAATACAAACAACCAATATTAGACATAGTGTTATACATTAACAAGGTCGTATGCAGTTACGGGTATGAGGGCTAATATCACTTCCCGGCTGACCACACCGTGGAAGGGTATTTCTTGAGGGAACTGAAAAGGAAGTTGGATTAGTCTTGGTCTTAACGAAGTGGGAGCGTGACCGCAGTGCTCAAGGGACAACTGCTTGAGGCCGGTCACGCACGGCCTTTTGTGGGTGATTTTTGACGTGTTAGCTCCGTTCTTCAAAGGACCTTACCTCCGGAGACGGAAATCCGTGGAATAAGGCGAGGTGTGCATTTTTAGGGTCGACCTTTTCCAACCCCACCCCTCCTTGTGGGAAGGCAGCATCATTAACAAGGGCAGCAAACGTAATATATGTCTACATTGATGAACATGATTACCTTTGATGTTGGCCAGCAACTTTGACAATAATTCTGTTTATCCTAATAGTCATCTTTTTGTAGTCTCAAAATTTATTGACCAGAATATACAAAACAGGATTAGTCCCATCAGATGAGCTGAACAGATTTCTAACTAATTTTTCAATATATATTAAAAAAACCTGAAACTCCTATACTCCAGCGCTGTCAAGGATATGAGGGTGGTTGTCACTCTCCCGTTCCTCACATCGAATAACAATGTTGCTTCTCGAAATGACAGAAAAGGAAACTGGATTACGGGTGTCTTTAATGAACTGAGAGTGTTTGGACTGTCCTAGGAATAACTACTCGAGGCCAGCTAAACAAAACCTTCCAGTGAGTGGCCTTTAATATTTTAGAACCGTACTTTGAAGAGTTATTGCCAGAGACGAATATGCGGAGGAGAGTGAGGCGTGGGATTTCTTATGGTTAGCATTTTCTAACGCCTTTTATTGTGGGAAGGCAGCATCACTGAAGATTCATCTGAATGAATCAACTTATTTTCTTCACACCCCGTACAGTCGGTAGTACGACTTCCTGAGATTGCTGTTTTTTAATCTTACTACGGGAACGGATGTCCCATCTAATATAGCTCGGATGGGTCTTTACGAAATGAAAATCTGGACACAACGTCAGGGTAACAGATACGTCAAGACTGGTATGATATTACTAGATGGTTATTAATACGGATGTAAATAAAATGCAGCTTCAATCTGTGGCAGAGGGCGGTTAAGGATGGTGGGTATTGAACGATTCTTAAGAAAAAACAGCAAAAATATGTAAGTGATATGTTACTATAACGTAAAAAAATTTATTTTTCAAAATAAATAGCTAACAAAGTAAGACTTTCTGAAAATTAACTTAGGGGTATTTTTACAAAAATATTTTGGATTAGATAAAGGTAATTTTCATTACGAAATGACTTTAACTGACATGGCGATGAAAAATATCTTGGGCATCATACATAGTGGTCAACTATGTAACACTAACTATGTAGTATAAGAGAGTGGACGTACACGTGTGGGTATAGTTCAGCTTATAAGCATATCTTACAACAGGTATCCACTAGCATTTATTCCGAGTCAAAACAAACGTCATTAATTTGTAAGATCCTTAGAACCTCACTTAAATCTTTCATTTTGATGTGCCATGTTATAAACTGATCACTTCTTTGCATTTACCACTCATATGAAAAGTCAATGAATTATGTACGTAACGAAAGACGCAGGAACAACATGGGTAAAACATGGTCAGATTACCGACGCCGTACATTTTGTTAATGCAAAGTATATGATATATTAGTAAGTTGCTTATATCGCGAGCGACGGTTTGTAGAAAACGAGCGAGTGTACAAAGCTTACACAAATCTAAAATCATACAAATAATTTTATGTACCTGCATAGTTGAAATTCTAGATGGATATGTATAAAGGTAGTTGGTAATAGTTTCCATAGCGAAAAGTGACAAATGTGGAGTGAAATGGGTGGAACCATTGAGGAAAATTTGACGCAGGACTGAGGGTAGGTTACCATCCATTACAGAGTGAACTATATCGCCCCATTCCGCGTCCAAACAAAGTCGCTTCAGTAAATTGAGTATAGATTTCATAAGGCCAGAGCGCTGTGTATTCAAAGTCTGCTCATAATCGGAAACGCTCGATTTCTTTCGGACAAATTCCAATCAATAGAAAACAAACGAAAGGACCAAATAAATAAAAAAGGCATGTAACAATGCAATGGATAACTTAGATGTATTCATTTTACTAGCAATCAGAACTAATACAAAGCTCTATCTAGGGTAATCATACATGAATCAAACAAAGAACGTCATGACTAAAGGTAACGGCCAGCCTATTCTATAAAACGAAGTTATAACACTGCTTAAATTGAAGTTATGCTTTGAAGTTGAAAGAAGCCTGTTATCACGTTCTAAAAGACGGAGTGGAACGGCGAACATAAATGGGTAGTGGAACTCAAGATTTTGTGAAATATGAAAAGTAAATGCATTTGTGCCACTATGACTGAATTTGAGCCATGTTGTCTAACATCACACATTGATTAGTAAATAAGGTAGATCTCAACTAGGTATCTGTATCTACCAACATAGCTCAAGTTAACAGTCAATGACTTCGTAGACTGATGATCTTGGATTGGCTGAAAACAGTTTTCTTCCAACTTATTTCCACACCAGCCAACATTGCACGGCGAAGTAGGTGGTGGTTGATCATGAGTAATACATGCCCTGGCCTTATTATTCGATAAGGATGCACAACATTAACGTCCAACTCGTCATCTTTGCTTAGTACATATCCTGATAATAAGGGAGATTTTACGTGACTAACTTTACGGCAGCTAGAGACAAATTAGTCTCATTTCTTTTGATATAACCAGACAGTTGACTCATATAAGTATGGTGGCGGCACCCAGTTTCGAAATATGATCGAATCCTTGAGAACAAGAAATTCTTATCATCAGGGTATTAACGACAGAGTTGGTAGATGAAATGTCTGATGAGAACGTGAAAGAAATTGGAGTTTAATATGTGTCCCATAATACCGGTATGAAAAAATATCCCATGCTAGACAACCTTGTTCTTGTTTATTCTCCCTCAGTCAATAGAAGTTATAGGAATCTGAGTAACGCTATGCTCTGGGATTTACCCTAACAATTTGATTACTCTGTGTTGATGGGGTGTGGCAACTTGAACCGATGTACACGTGTTTCATATTCCACGTTGGGTATAACTGACTGGATCTCATATTAATTTAGCCAGAATTCCGTAGAGAACACAAAAACGCTATGACGACATTATTTATGCTTAATACGTTTTTTCCTCAAGCACTGGAGCGAAGTAGCATACTTAGATATTAAAAATGAATAAAATATTTAAAAAAGCTCTGTGCATAAACACTGACTCACATTACTTGATGTAGAACTCTGAAGAACAACTTCAACTTCGTAATTTAATCGATCGACCAAAATACTTACTACATGTTGACGACTTGAAGAAATACTCAACAGGATTTGATCAGTCACACGAACAGCACGTGTGACATAACTCAAATAATCATTGTGCGGTGTATGCCAAGAAATAAGTTGAGTCATAGTGTCCAAAATACCACTAGAGCTGAGAGTTGTGTTTTGTGTATTTCCTAAATTTCAACTATTAACAAGTAATGTGAAAACATTTACCTGGACCAACGTTTTCTTCATAACAAGCTAGATGATACAAGAAGGATAATAGAGCTGTTGTGAAATGCTGATTTGTACTCCCAGCAGGGGCTTTTATAGAACCGTCTACAAGTCCTTTGATCCATTTTCTGGTCAAATTAGGTAAGATACCATGATAACTAGATAATCCAGTAGATCCAACCAACGAGCCCCAGCTACAAGTGAGCAAACATAAGACACGATGATTTGTTTTGGAAATAAAATTTAGAAAATAAATGTTTGGTAGATGTTATTCCTAGATTACGTTTATGGCGTAGACCAAATCAAAATTTAAAAGCCTAGATATCACATTTGTAACGGGTATATTTTTTCGTTTTGAAGTCTATTTCGTTAATTCATCTATTAGTTGTTTTTTTCTTCTGGGAAAGCTAATGTATGGATTAACTTTTCAGACCTTTTCTCTCAAATACTTATTTGATTCTGAACACGAAAACATGAGATACCATTACTTCTACTACTTTGGTATTCACTTTGGTAATTTCATCTCATTCAGACATAATGTAGCAACTTTGGCCGAAGCGTAATTATGCCAGGTTACACGTCGCTTATGACTGACGGATTGGACATGGATTGTTGACAACAGTTTGTGAAATAAAACAGCGAACACATCTATCGAGTTTTACAGTTACAAACTAACACAATATAATCATTTTAAAAAAGTTAGTTAGAAACCTTGGTAAAAGATTTTATAGACTAAGAAAAATTCGATGTTTTAATATAGCGCTGGGTAAGAATTTGACTTACGAGCAGTTGCCGGAAATTAGTTGCTAAAGTAAACTGAATTTTATATAGACATCAAAAACTTTAAAGCCTGTGGTAAAGCAGTCAGTCAAACCCAACGTACACTGGTATGTACATACATCAGTTTAAGCTCCCATATCCCATTAGAAAACACGATAAGATTGTCAGGGCATATCACTGAGTAACAGATGTAGTAACAGTTTTAGTGGCAACAGGAAAAATTATGCATTGACGATACAACTCGAGAAAATATAAATTAAGGAATAGCTATGTATGAAGGATTTCATTGAAAAGGTGAATAACCATTCCACATATTTTCTTGACTTGATAATTGTACATCAGATTGAGAGGATTAAATATTCTAATATAGTTCTAACATGATCTAATCAGTTACGCACTTCTTACTCTTGTGGATTGAAAAATTAAGTCTGAGGTTTGAAAAGTCTACCAGGAACTATTTGCTTTGATTTGGCAGCTCGAATAGTATCATTATACTTATACAATCATGGAAATTTGAGGGACATCAGTACTGTTTAAGGCTACGATATGAGTTATTTATCTAATTTCGTTCTCTACATTTCTGAGTGGTCTTATGTTCCCAGTTTTTATATTATATCTTGACGGCACTGATTTGCTTGCCAGTTGACATTAATTTCTTAGCAATATTTATCGGTGCAAAACCCGTTTCGCATATGTCCAAACCAAACATATACAGTATAATCTTCCCAGCTTTAAATTTCGTACCTTGGTACTGATTGAGATGCTTGATTGATAATGTTGAAAAAGTTCGCTATTCGTTTATGTTAAAGAACTCTATGGGACGTAATAAGGAATAGTGTCTCATACACTGGTTAGTGCAGAGCTTGTGCTTTAAAATAATGTAAAAGTGATTACCAAGTGTTTCAACTTAACGAGACTAGCACGTAAGTAACACGGATTCGATGATCTACGTATTTTACGTTACAGTTCGGTAAACTTAGTTTATCTCGTTTTTTAAACAACAAACCAGATGACATTCCACTGCCTAAAACAAAAATAAAGTAATTAAGCCTTCGTTTCATTCCACTTTTCAGTGACTTAAAGTAAACAGACAAATAAAATAATCTAAGTTTTAGGTGGAGCTTTGCTCTCTGAACAAAACCATCAGCTGATGATGTCGTTCAAAAGAACGATGAAAGCTCCACGACTAAGCCACCCAGATCAGAGAGCAAAACTCCACCTACATCATCCACTTAAGCTACAAATCTCCACCATCTCAAAAAAGTCTAAAGGGTTGACCACTTACTTTATGCCCAGTCGGTGGGAATTCACTATAGCAGTCATCGTTCGAAGGGCGCATGCCTTGATCCCCATATACTGGTCATCTGACAAACCAAGTACTTCCACAAGTTCATCTATTAAGCTAGGATACAAATGTCGTTCATCAACGTCGAATGTATACGCTATAAAAATAAAGTTGCATAAATAAATTGCCATCAATGCAAAATCTTGAAAACAATATGCTGTAACCTAAATAATATCAAGCTTTCAGATTCATTCAGATTAATGCAAATTTACATGAAAGTAACCAACGAATAATTTTTGATCAGTGACTTTCACAACGAAAAAGCTATAAATTAGAATTCACGGAAAACTGTGAATGAACTTAGATGACTGTTCCTCTTATTACGAACTAGGATGATGTGGGATTTAGAATCACATTTTTACTTGGCCGCAATGTGCATGAATATATTGAAGCACATGTATCGTGACCAAATCCACTAACGTCTACACTTTCAGTGATCAAAGATTGAGAGTGATAAAAAACATCAGGATCGTCCTGACCTCGAAAAAAAAACCAAAAAGTTCAAATGTGATTGCTGTAGCGAACGGACTGAATAATCAAAATATGGACTGAGATAAACAGTACGAACCAGAGAAAGGGTGATGGTATCCATCTGCCGTAAATGTGCTTTGAAAATAATGTTTTAAAAGGGCACTAACTTTAAGCACAAATACTGTTTGGTTTGACAATCACTGTTATATAAGCAACTTAAGTGAAAACTCACGAAGAGCATATACAATGATCATGAGCAAAGACGAGTAACGAAAACAAATGTGAGTAATGAAATAATGTGCACACTAACGCTTACAATTGTCACTAATCTCGTTTTTGACCACCGAATAATAAAAGACCTTAATAAAATAATATCCTTGTGAAGCAGGACGAAATACTATGGGTAAAATTGCTACACTTGGGAGTATAAATGAGAAAATAAAGTATTCAGAGAACAGCTCATGAAGTGACTTACATAAAATGGATAGTGCTTGAAGTCTGGCACGTATGCACTTATGACGCTGTGTAGGATCAGCAAAATAAGTTGCCAGTCGAACACGAGAGAACAAAGCCATTTGTTGAGATACGGGTACAGGATGTACAGCTAGTAACTCTTCCATTATTTCGGACGGGATTTGATTTCTGCGGTGGAGGGCCTGAAGTACAATTGTGCCGCTAGAACTTGAAGACCCCAACTGTTCGCTAGAACTTGAGTGCTGAGAGACAGATGAAGGGCCGGGAGGTTGTTCTGATCTGTACTCAAAATATACATTTCCAGCCGTTTCTGGGAACTATCAACAATATAATGTATGACAGAGGCTTACATGATTTGGATCACAACAAGCTGCAAGTCCAAATCCATTTTCTGCTCCACCCCAAGTCTAATATCACTCGTTAATTTAAAATTACCCACTTACTTCAGCAATTGATACAAGACGATCGAGAATCATCTGTTTGTTTGTTGGGTCTAACCTAATAAAATAGTTGCTCCGTTTGCTTAGAACATTATTAAGCTGAACACACATTACCTAAAGTTGTACGATAGACCGAGAACGGCCAGCAAGACATCAAGGTTTGAAGAGCCAAACAAAGCAAGTATATGAGTCCAGGAACCATACAAGTATCTGTATATACTATGCTCGATCAAGTGACCAGTAAATTCCAAAATAGTCACTACATCCTCAACAAGAGACGAGTTTCCCGGTGCATCAAGACGAAGCATCCACTTCCCAACTTTCGTTACAGCATTTTCCAAAATAGCATCTAATCGATCCAAAACGTCTGCCCAAAGTCCAAGTTCACACTTTCCGTAATTCCAAACCTTTATTCGCTTCAATTCTGAAATCAGCTGTTCATCTGGGCATACAGATAGGTGTTTTGCAAGTAACATGCACTCATTCTGATCATATCCGCACCGATTAACCGTCTTTTTCCTGTCAATCTTCATGAGTGTGTCGGGAAAAGCAAAGCTAATTGATAAGTCTCACAGAATTTTCATCAGCATAAATTGGAGGTTAACGACAGGATACCAAAATTAGACGGTAAGCTATAGACTGAGAAAAGACCACGATAAGAAGGGAACATAAACAGACCGCTCTACTAAGAAACGAACTTAAAGTATAACTTCCAATCTCCAATGTATACAAACAATTCATAACAAAACAACGTAAGAGCGATAAATTTTTTGACCTTTTACTTTTGTTTTGAGGGATTATTTACATTTCTCAATCTCTTGGACTGAGGATTTCTTTTGTTTCTGAAGGGTGGGGAGACAAAGGTTATAATTATTTTTTTCTAGTTATCTTCTGTGCTTGTCTGAATATTTCCCGAATAATTTACATGTAGCTGTGGGTGACAAATTTGTGATGGGTAGGTTCAAAGAGTTGATTGCAAGGTCAAAAAACCTATATACTAAGAGTAATTTGTTCCGTCTTAGAGTTCGAACAAGTTACCTCGACCTAGATGGAAGAAAAAGGAGGAATTAATCAAGTGCAAAATCATATCCGAGCATAAAATGGATTACAAATTGATCACCTTGAAATCTGCTGCAACGTGAAGTAAACAGGTTTAGCTTTTTAAGCTTCACTGCATATTGTTAGACATGCAGCTCCGATATTGCATAGATAGCTATATTCTGTTCTTTTGCCAGGAGATATAAGTGGGTTCGGAAGCATTGGTGTACAGATTGCCATCAATCCAACACCGTCAAAACATTGTCGAACAGTTTCAAAGATATCTACTTCCCTTTCTCATACTTACTTACTTACTTACTTACGCCTGTTACTCCCAATGCAGCATAGGCCACCGACCAGCTTTCTCCAGCCCACTCTGTCCTGGGCTTCCTTTTTTAGTTCTATCCAGTTCTTGTTCATTCTTCTCATCTCTGTCTCTATTTCTCGGCGTAATGTGTTCTTTGGTCTTCCTCTTCTCCTTTGACCTTCAGGATTCCATGTGAGGGTTTGTCTTGTGACGCAATTAGCTGATTTCCTCAAGGTGTGCCCAATCCACTTCCAGCGCTTCTTCCTGATTTCTTCCTCCGCTGAAATCTGGTTTGTCGTCTCCCACAGTAACTTGTTGCTGATAGCGTCTGACCATCTGATTCGAAGTATCTTGCGTAGACAGCTGTTAATAAACACTTGTATCTTCTGGATAATGGCTTTCGTATTTCTCCACGTCTCCGCCCCATACAGAAGAACTGTCTTGACATTTGTATTGAAAATTCTAACCTTGGTGTTGGTTGATAATTGTTTTGAGCTCCAGAAGTTTTTCAGTTGTAGGTATGCTTCCCTATCTCATATGGACATTATAATTCTAAATTTCTTGTGTCCATTGATTAAACAAGTGTGTTTATAACTGAGCATTCCTAGAAGAAGGAGAGGTTTCAGACGCTATTGTAGTAATAAGTAAATCCCCAAAACAGGTAGTTCCATAAGTTTTTGACATCGGTGCTGACCTTATTAGTTTCGCCTTAAACTTCCTAGATGAAGGCGCCCGTTCACTGACTCATACGTGGTACTACGCACTAGGATTCCAAATCAGCACTTGCCTCATGATGCAGTCTAGTGATTTCCTCAGTGTATGTCCTATCCACCTTCAAATCCCTTTCCTTATTTCCTATTCAGATGGGAGCTGTTTTATCCCCCCTCACTGTAGATTGTTGCTGAAGGTATCCGGTCAACTGACAGAAAAGTAATAATATCACTGTCAAACAAATTACATTCTTCTTCTTATACTCTAAATGTTTGATTGTGATTAATCGGAAATCACGGACATGCAATTCTCTTCTTGAACATTTGTCAGCAAATTTAGTATAGAGTAGATAGATTGTGGCCAGAAGTGGAATCCAGGACATGCGTTTCGTCCTATTTAGGATTCGTCAGCTAAATGTACCCAGAGTTGAAATCCACGCTGGAACTGATCGGATTTCAGTAAAAAAATATCAACTACAAGATGGTCCAATTCATTTGTGTAAAATTAAAAATTACTTGTCAGCTAAATGCATATGGAACCTTGGAAAATATAATGTTATCACGAACACTCAATTTCCCTTCACTCGATACAGTCCTAAACATTGATAGCCCTTGTCGAGGAACATAGGCCCCTCACCAACACTCTCCATCCAACTCTGTTGTATTTGAGGATATTGCTTTTTCCTTTGTGTTTGTTGAGGTCCACTGATAAAGAGGCTTCAGCTACACTAGATGTCTTCGTCCACATTTGTCGGTGTGTGTATGGGATAGGAGGACCAGATCATGTGCAAAGTGAACATCTTATTTATTCCGAGCTGTTCACCGTATTTCGTGCTTTCCCCACATGTCAAGGTCTTCATAATCCAGTCAACCACCAGAAGAGAAATAAAATGATAGAGTAAGTGGTCTTGTCTGACTCATGTCTTTACTCGGAATGCGTCTGTTAGCTTACCTCCATACACGACTTTGCAGTGTAGTCCGCTGTTTGAATTCTGCATGATGTTGACTATTTTCTCAGATACACTATAATGCCGAAGAAGGTTACATAATGTTCTCCTATCCATATTGTCAAGCTCTTTCTCATAAATAATGAAGTTGATGTATAGTGACGAGTTCCAGTCAACTGATTGTTTAACGACTATTCGTATTGTCGCGATTTGGTCTGTGCACGATCCTTCCATATGGAATCCAGCCTGTTGATTTCGAAGTCGAGTATCTACTGTGTCTTTCATGCAGCTCAGCTTTTCCTGGTACTGACAGTATTGTGATGTCTCACATTTCCCCAGATCTTTTTTTTGGTATCTTGATGAGGTGACCTTCTTTTCAGTCCGTAGGCACTTGCTCTTCCTTCCAAATCTTCTAGAATAGAATGTGAAGCATATTTGCAGTTGCTTCATTATTTGGCTTCAGTGTTTTGGCTGGTATATTGTCAGGCCCTGCTGCTTTCCCGTTCTCGATTTGTTTGATAGCCATCCTGATTTTTTTTAGTCGAGTGACAGCTATAGGAACGTGTGTATTGAATTATGGTCATTTTCTTCATTAGTACTGCTATGATAATAGACCTTATCTTAAAATTGTAGGTTTGTTATGATGTGACTACCTAATCTTACGTGTAAGTCCCATCATTGTCTACACTGACTCGTCCTATCGTAAAATCTTCAATATATAATGGAGAAAACATTTAGTCTGGAGTCAGAACGACACATTTGATTTGAATAAAAGGGATAAGCTACCCAAAAATGATCCCGACTGCAAGGCTGAGCTATACATCGCGACGAACTGAATTAATTTTTCCCGAGTTCTCCATTGTTAATCCTCTCTTCATGTCCATTGTTAAATATAAATCTTTTCAGTAATTATATGCCCGGCCTCAAAGGTCATATGGCTAGGGTCGAACGCCTCTACATGTGTGCTGCTTTTGTGTCTGGTGGATTCAATGAGGCTAGTCTATTCAGGAGTTCCTCGAAGTATTTTTCTCATCTGTTCCTATGTTCCAAATCCCGATAGTTTTCTTGACTTCTTTCTCCTTGGTCGGCCTCCCTGGTTCACCTTATTTCCCTGCCAGTCTCTTCGTTATGTCGTATAGCTGTCTTATATTTCCTTCTCTTGAAAAGAACGAGATTGGCATAATGGAAACAATTATTATTATAACCAACCATACTGGTGATTGTTTTACTGTACCTGTTTGTTTGAGTGTACCAAACACACACTTTCTTCCGTTTCCTTTGACCTTGCACGAACTCGAGTACGTTCGGCAGTTCCGGTTGTAAACTTTGACACGTCTTGGTATTCTTTCGATATTATGAGATTGACAACAAAGATATATTATTGCAACCGTCAACAGCCTTCTGGTTTTTGGCTTATGGAGGGATCCAACTCCACATTTGCCACATAATCTTCTTGTAGTGGTGGTCATTGTTAATCGCAACAGGACGCCTACTACACTTTCATGCAGCAGTTCGCGTCTAACTAGAAGGCAATTTATGTACTAGGGTAGCATACAGAGCGACGTGAATGTGGAGTGCTGAAAAATAGAAGGACGACCGAAAAATGTGAACGGACGACGCAGAAAGCAAGTAAAATGAACTTATACTTAAGTAGGAAAGCAATGGACAGCAATTAACGATAACATAAGCTTCAGATTAAGGCCGTCTGCGAATCGAAACTAGAAGAAGATAGCACATAGTTTATAACCCATTACACTTCGTTCACTGTATCATCCTCCTAAGTAATGCTGTATGGTTCATGTTTAAAGAAGATTAGTAAGGAGTTGACCTCTTTGAAGTCTTCATCAATGCACTCTGTAATACGTAAATTCACTGGAATTTGTAGTTTCCTTTCTATCTACGAATAATGGAGCTGTTCAAAGTGAATTTCCCACAGATTTGTCAAGACCAAATTACATCAATCTCTCCAACACTTCATCTACTAACGGTAAAACAGCAAATGAAACTGGTCTTCTGATTATGAAGGCAAACTATTAAGTAAATTGATTAAAATAAAGTTATGAATAAAAATTAAATTAAACTCAAACGTTTTAGAAATATAAGAGTATTCAAATAGAAGACCATGATAAATTGAGAGGCTAAATAAACTATTTCTGTACAAAAATGTTTGGTTTATCGATGTATATACATTATGGACAAAAAAACTACAGAGAAGCAATCAATGCAATGTTCACTGATTCCCCTCAAATTTCGGAAATTACCTCCATAAAAGACCCGAAGAAAAGATTGAATGATAGTTGACTCGGTCACTAAAACAAATAGGTATAATCTTCCAGGACTCATGTGCAACATCCAGGCACACAGATACCGCGATAGCATGGCTTTAACCGTCTCAAAAGTACACAGAACTGTATGGCTAACACCTCCAGTTTTGACCTACATAATCCTCAACATGTGTCTGAGGAAGTAGGGTCTGGATGCGTTGACATATGTGCTTGGACAATTCCACTCTTCAGCTTTTCAGTATGCTT